AACCATACAGACTTCAGGAGCAATATCTAAACTGAGTTCAAATTTGGAGGTTCTGCAATCACAAATTTAGCGTCTGCAGTGCAGAAACTGGCTAAACAGGTGTAAATTGTGGGGTGAGGGGTGATAGACCTCTTTCTGAACGTCACAAGTAAGCAGGGAAACGTGGACTGTAAATCACAAAGCAAAACTATCTTAGACTGGTAAAAACAAAATGTCAAGCCGGATTTTGGTAAAACTAAAACTGCCCTGATTTGGCTCATCTTTTCATGTAGTGTTTAATCTCTAGATCTGGTCTAAACATGGTTTTAACTATATCCTTGCAAACCGCTAGTGTGGCTGCGGTTATGCTGTTTAAAGATGCACATGGCACTGTACTTCATTTGTAGCTTTCATTAACTTGAAGAATTGATCTTTGGTTAACAGCTTCCTGCTTAGACAATATGTGGATTTCTTCCCCAAGCTAATGTTTTTACTTGCCTTGGTGTTGGTCTAGTATTTGGTCTCAGTTTAATCCTTGTGCATTGTTGTGTGTTGCAACTTCTCTTATTCAGATATATTTATTATCTGAATTCCCCTTTCTAGAAATTAGCACTCTTGTTCATCCTAGGCTGTCAGGGTTCACCTGCGTGTTATCTTCCCTTGATTAATGTCTTGGTGACCTTCACCACGCCTGCTGTCAGTGTACTTTTGATATAACTGTCACATAGCTACAGTTCCATGGCCTAGAAGGGCCTCCTGCTGCCTGGTCAGTCCTCTGGTACTGTGAATTTTGGCTTCCACGATGTGGACTGGCTTTCTTTTCAGCTAGTTAGAAATTCCCCTTCCTCTCTAGTGATCAATCTGTTTGTGACAGAACATATAATATTCAAAGGTTTTACAGAAGAGCACTACAGCAGAGAGATTTGGAGCTGCTCTAAGAGAAGGGTTACTATATGAGTACAAGGGATTAATTCAAGAGGGGTTGACAATAGATACTCAGTAAAGAGGACAATAGCTTTCCATGCAAGCAGGAGAATGGTAGACCTATTTGGTTTGTCCCATCTCTGACCCCCTGTTTGAGCTCAGTGGACTAGCTTAAGATGAATTCCAGTTTAACACAGGAGAACTAAAAGTCCTGGAAGCTGAGAAAAAGCTCTTTGTGGAGAGGGGGTGAATGTTTGTGGAGAGTTGCTGACAAGAAGTGGCTTTCACAGACCCTGGAAGTCAGGGGTCTGGAGTAAAGAGGGACTTGCCTAGAGTCTGTGCTGAGGGATAGCAAGCCTCCAAGTAAGATAGATAAGCATATTTTCTCTTTTATTCTTTTGATGGTAAATAGACAATACTTTGTTTGAAGAAGTCTATCTGGTCACTGTTTACCACTGGTCACAGGTTCCAAACCTAGTTAAGCCTACAGAATAATCCTGGCTGATAGATTGTGCCCTGTGCTACAGCGCCCCATGGGAGAATCACAAGATTGCATCCTAAACAAGGTAAGGGCATGAGACCCTAGTCTCTGAGGGGCTGTATGCAGACCAGAGAGGGGTCAAAGGTTAAGATAGCCTTGTAAGTGACCAACAGTGCAAACTATGTACATACAATAAGCAAGTCTACCTCTTCCTTTTCCTCTCTGGGCTCTTATGGCATATCACAAGTATATTGTATAGTGGAATGTGTTGAAACCATTTTTTCTTTCAGAAGGTGGAGAAAGCTGTTCTAGATTTGGTTTTGACAAATGGGGAGAAACTGGTTGAGAATTTGAAAGTGGAAGGTAGCTTAGGTGAAAGTGATCATGAAATGGTAGAGTTCATGATTCTAAGGAATGGTGGTAATGGAAAACAGCACAATAAAGATAACAAGTTTCAAGAAGGCAGACTTTAGCAAACTCAAGGAGTTGATAAGCAAGATACCATGGGAATCCAGTCTAAGGGAAAAAACAGTTCAAGAGAGCTGGCACTTTTTCAAAGAGAAATTATTAAGGTCACGAGCAAACTATCCCACTGCATAGGAAAGATAAGTATGGCAAAGACCAGTCTGGCTTAACCAGGAGATCTTCAATGATCTGAAACTCAAAAAAGAGTCCTACAAAAAATGGAAACTAGATCAAATTACAAAGGATGAATATAAACAAATATACTACATGTATGTAGGGGCAAAATTAGAAAAGCCAAGGCACAAAACAAGATCAAACTAGCTAGAGATATAAAGGGTAACAAGAAAACATTCTATAAGTACATTTAAAAACAAGAGGAAGACCAAGGACAGGGTAGGCCCATTACTTAATGGGGGGGACAATTACAGAAAACGTGGAACTGGCAGAAGTGTCAAATGACTTTTTTTTTTTGTTTCCATGTTCATCAAAAAGGTTAATAGAAATTGGATGTCTAACACAGTGAAAGCCAGTGCAAATGAGGTAACAGCAGAGGCTAAAATAGGGAAAGAACAAGTTTAAAAATTACTTAGAGAAGTTAGATGTCTTCAAGTCACCAGGGCCTGATGAAATACATCCCTAGAATATTCAAGGAGCTGACTGAGGAGGTATCTGAGCAATTATCAACCATCTTCGAAAAGTCATGGAAGATGGGAGAGATGCCAGAGGACTGCAAAATGGACTATATTTGCCCAGCTGTAAAAAGGGAAATAAGGACAACCCGAGGAATTAGACCAGTTAGCTTCACTTCAGTATCTGGAAAGATAATGGAACAAATAATTAAGCGATCAATTTGCAAACACCTATAATATAATGTGATAAGTAACAGCATGGATTCGTTAAGAACAAATAGCGTCAAACGAACCAAAAAGCTTTCTTTGAGAGGATAACAAGCCTTGTGGATGGGGGGATGCTGTAGTTACAGTATCTCTTGACTTTAGTAAGTGTTTTGAGACTGTCTCGCATGACCGTTTCATAAACAAACTAGGGAAATACAACCTAGATAGAGCTACCATAAGATGGGGTGCCTAACTGGTTGGGAAAACCATTCCCAGAGAGTAGTTATCAGTGGTTTGCAGTCAAGCTGGAAGGGCATATCGAGTGGAGACCCTCAGGGGTCAGCTGTTGGTCTGGTTCTGTTCAATGTCTTAATCAATGATTTAGATAATGGCAGAGAGAGTACACTTATAAAGCTTGTGGATGATACCAAGCTGGGAGGGGCTGCAAGTGCTTTGGAGGATAGGACTGAAATTAAAAATGATCTGGACAAACTGGAGAAACGGTCTGAAGTAAACAGGATGAAATTCCATAAGGACAAATGCAAAGTACTCCACGTGGGAAGGAACAATCAGTTGCGCACATAAGAAGTGGGAACTGACCGCCTGGGAAGGAGTCCTGCGGAAAGGGCTCTGGGGGTCCTAGTGGATCACAAGCTGAATATGAGTCAACAGTGTAACGCGGTTGCCAAAAAAAAAAAAAGTAGGCTGTCGATTAATTGCAGTTAACTCACACAATTAACTGAAAAAAATTAATCACGATTAATTGCGGTTTTAATTGCACTGTTAAACAATAGGATACCAGTTGAAATGTATTAAGTATTTTGGATGTTTTTCTACATTGTCGTATATGTAACTGAAATCGGTGTAGATTATTTTTGATAACAAACATTTGCACTGTAAAATGATAAACAAAAGAAAGGTGTTTTTCAATTCACCTCGTACAAGTTAGAACTAATACATTTAACACGTACTTCATGTGCAATCTGAGTAGGGGAAGATCAAGAAATTGTTAATTTAAAATGAAATTCTGAAATACCGACTTCATTAACTAGCACTAGTTTCTGGTTGGCTGGGCCAGTAGTTTTAATGTGATACTGGCGCTGAGTTTTAAATAAGACCTAAAATGGATTAACTTTAAGTAAAAACTGACATACTTCGCGTGCGTGTGTGTTAGAATCATAGAATCCTAGAATATCAGGGTTGGAAGGGACCTCAGGAGGTCATCTAGTCCAACCCCCTGCTCAAAGCAGGACTGATCTCCTATTAAATCATCCCAGCCAGGGCTTTGTCAAGCTTGAGCTTAAAAACTTCTAAGGAAGGAGATTCCACCACCTCCCTAGGTAACGCATTCCAGTGTTTCACCACCCTCCTAGTGAAAAAGTTTTTCCTAATATCCAACTTAAACCTCCCCCACTGCAACTTGAGACCATTACTCCTTGTTCTGTCATCTGCTACCACTGAGAAGTCTAGAGCCATCCTCTTTGGAACCCCCTTTCAGCTAGTTGAAAGCAGCTATCAAATCCCCTTATTCTTCTCTTCCATAGACTAAACATCCCCAGTTCCCTCAGCCTCTCCTCATAACTCATGTGTTCCAGTCCCCTAATCATTTTTGTTGCCCTCCGCTGGACTCTTTCCAATTTTTCCACATCCTTCTTGTAGTGTGGGGCCCAAAACTGGACACAGTACTCCAGATGAGGCCTCACCAGTGTCGAATAGAGGGGAACGATCACGTCCCTCGATTTGCTGGCAGTGCTCCCACTTACACATCCCAAAATGCCATTGGCCTTCTTGGCAACAAGGGCACACTGTTGACTCATATCCAGCTTTTCGTCCACTGTAACCCCTAGGTCCTTTTCTGCAGAACTGCTGCCAAGTCATTCGGTCCCTAATCTGTAGCGGTGCATTGGATTCTTCCGTCCTAAGTGCAGGACTCTGCACTTGTCCTTGTTGAACCTCATCAGATTTCTTTTGGCCCAATTCTCCAATTTGTCTAGGTTCCTCTGTATCTTATCCCTACCTCCAGCATATCTACTTCTCCTCGCAGTCCCACTATCTTCTTCTCTCCCCTTTCTCTCTCTTTTTCTCTCTCTCCCCCCCCCACCCCCCATCTCAAAAGACCCAGGATCCTTTAATCCATTTCTAGGTATGGCGTATCAGCAGTCTTGAGGTACTAGTAGTTACCAGACAGATACTGTCATCAGAACAAAGTAACCTACTTAGGTTTCAGAGTTTTGTATGAGGAAGAAGGTCTCTGTTAGTCTGTGAAGTCTACCATTGAAGTTTATATTCATTAACATGCACCTGCTCTCTTGCAGATTCAGAATCTGAAAAATCATTAAGTGGATTTGAAACAGTAACAACGTACTCAGAGGACAGTGTGGAGTCCAACAATACAATAACCTCCAGCATGTCTGAAGAAAAGGTCTGTGGTGGAGGTGGAAAGGTCTGTGGTGGTGGTGGAGAGTCTCTGTCTAATGGCATCAAAAAACACAGGTAGGATGTTGCCTATTCTTTTTAAAGATATACTGTAAACTTTATTGCCATGTAGGCAAAAACCATGAGACTCCTGTGAAAGATAATTGTAGATATTTTTCTCTGGGGTATGATAAATGAAAAGCAGATAGTTGCTCTGTGCTTTTAATAAGGAATCCTTTCTCCTACATTAACAGACTCTCACCATTTTGAAGTAAACTATTATATACCATTCCATTTTAACTAGTAAACAAGGGTATACATTTTTTTATATATAGATAGCAAATGCTTTAAAATGGACATGTTTTAACTCATTTTAAAAAGTCTTGTTGAAATCGATGCTAGCTCTTATTTCATCATGTATTTTTAATGATTTGTGCATCCTATTGCTTTTTTTAGTTTCCAGTCACTTGATCTCCCTACTTGTATTAAGACTGAATCGCAATATTGCTAGCTTGACATCACAATAAACTGAAGTCTAAACACAAGGGTTTTATTTTAAAACTTATGTACATTGCGTAGGTTCATTTTATGCGGTCCAATTAATCCATTTTTGTTTGTTCATGTCTCTGCCGGTAAAAGAGGACAATAGGGCCAGAGTTAATGAGATGTAATAGATACCACTATTCTCAAGTTTCAGTGCAGAGGCAATTTAACGTGTACATTACAGTTCAGTCCCAACATTGACATGTTTTTAAAGTACCAATCTATAACTGGCCCTTTGGAAATAAGCAAGGTCACAATTACTAACAGATGGGATAATACTTCTTAAGGCAGGCATTAAAATAGCATTTTCGCTCAAGTGCATTAAGCAGTACCTTAGTTACTTGACATCTGCATTTCACAACTAAATCTCTGAGGCCATTGCAGTGCATGGTAATGTGGGAGACTTGATGTCAGGTTCCACCTCTGAACATCAGCGCCTCCCAAACCAAGCAAAGACAAGGAGTGTTGAGTACTAGGGTCAAGCAAAGATGCTGACGGACTGTGTTGTTCCTTTAAGACCCCTTAATGATACTACTTTTTGTTTATCATTGGTGATCTCTTCTCTGTGCCTTCACCTGTCACCTGAAAGTCCTATAGTAGCAGCTGGAGGGAGGGAGGAAAATGTTCGGTGAAAGTGGATGTTTCAGAATGGAGACTTGTAATCCCCCCTTTGTTGCCTGAGAAATTGGGAAGAGAGGGAGAGGACCATTAAGACCCTCTGTAAAAATGACAGCTGCATTTGTTTGCTACATTATATAAATACAATCCACTGGAAAAGTTTAAACGAAAGCCAGTTTTCTCAAAGTATAGGAAACAATAGCTTGGCTAGTTTCCACAAGTTTTGTTATAAAATTTATATTGTCAGAATTGTAAACAAGAGGTGACTAGAGCCTCTAAGCTCCATTATTCATTCTTCAGTCCCCTGACACTACTCCACTTTCCACCTACAAATGTGTCTCATTAAACTTTTTGATCACTAGGCTCCCTTTCCATTCCTTAGCTGCATGTCTTGCCCTGTATCCTTTAATGTTTAGTGCTCTTCATAAAACTGGTTTAGCTGTAACCATTTTTGTAACGATTTCTAATTTGCTGTGGCACATTGCTTGAAGAAAGGCTCAGATAGCGAATATATCTTGTATATTGCATAGTAACATTAGCTCTTTACCTGGCACCTTGGCAACGCTTTGGGATTTGGTGTCTGCAAATACAGTGATGCAAATAGGTTCCCCCGCAGAGCACTGTGAATCTAAACTTTGCCTCGAAGAGAACTTTCCATGGCGGAAGAAGTTGTTCAGTGTTTTGATCTGTCTTTGGATTCTTGGTCAATGCTAATGCGTTTAGCTGCTTGACATAATTACACCACAACTGAACTGCAGTTCTGCTCATGTTATGTAACTGGACAGGTAGGCACGCTTTTTTACAAAATGTTTAGATGCAGACTACTTGGATGCTTATTTTAGAATATATCCTTTAGATGCAGTCTGTCCTCAAAGTGCAAAAACTTAGATGGTGATCATCAAACTAACACACAAAGCTTAGAATGTTTTGAGGAGATATATGTCGCACCTAATAACCTCTGTTAGCTTCACTTCTCTTTAAATATGCAAGAGGAGAACTCCTGAATTGGGCTCTAAAAGGAGTAAACAGATTCATCTTCGTAGTTTGATGTAACTGCTGGCACTGTTACTTATTTGATTTCCTTTATGTTGGACACTGTTCAGACTAGTGTATCTCAATGGCCTAGTTTTTTTTTTTTAATACAGTATTTTAACTCTTGCTTGCTTTGTTTTGCCTTTCAACTTAAGTCTTGCTGGAGATCCTTGAACAAATGTTGCATATCCAGCTTGCTAACATTTTTACCAGCCCATTCTCCAATGTTTGCTGTCAGAAGCATTCTGGGACCTCATCTGCCTTTATTTCAGTTTTAGAGCAAAATGAATAAATTTGGTGAGCCAAGGAAATGAAAAACAAAGCTAGTTGGTATGAGGAATATTCCTTGTTGTGATCACTTTTGTTAATATGAATAACCTGATTGTATCAAGGAGTAACTGTTGGGAAACACTTGAGTGTTGTGCTCCAGCTGTTGAAATTCTCATTGTCATTGACTCCTACTAGAAAGGTGGTAGCGTATAACTTGAAAATATCAAAGATAACATCAGAATGCATCCAGTGAAGTGAGCTGTAGCTCACGAAAGCTTATGCTCAAATAAATTGGTTAGTCTCTAAGGTGCCACAAGTACTCCTTTTCTTTTTGCGAATACAGACTAACACAGCTGCTACTCTGAAACCAAAGATAACGTTGAATGTGCTGCTAATTTGCTATATGATGCTGCTCAGTGACATTGCATCCATCTGCTCTGCATATGGGTGATATAACTAATTCTGATATAGAGCACAGGACACCTGCCCAATAATTAGAATTGGGAACTTAATGAGGTGTGGTGCCAGTTCGATCTATGAGGTGGACTTCTTCAAGCTAAAACGTGTTCAAAGCCTTTTTCACTTATTTCAACCCAGAAGATTGAAAAACAGCAAAAAGAATGGTACCGAAATATGACTAGCCTGGAAATGTTCATAGTCTAATCTGTCACTTAAATTTAAAGGGATAGTTGGAAATCAAACCAATTTTAAAAAAAAAAAAGGAGGGGGGAGGGTTTGAAAAGTAGCTTGTTACAGCTGCCACTGAGCTTCCCTGACATGTTGTTGTTTTTTTGTTGTTTTTTCCTCATGATTAAAAATGTTTTCTTTTTTCTTCATGAGTCTTTCTCACACACACACACACAAGAAAGTTTGTATATGGGGAGACAAACTCTAACAGTGTCAAATGCATAAAGTAAACAAGATAAAAAAATAAATGTACTGTAACTACAATATTAATCTTTTGTTTTACCTACTAGTAAAACAGACAGAAGTGATTTTTTTTGAGGAGCAACCCTTTAAAATTATGCCACTATCATTGCTAGTTATTCTTTACAGTAGAACAAATATTTTCATTATGCAAAGCTAAAGTTAACTTTCTGAAACTTTCTTAATGTGGTTGCCTTCTATAAATGACTTCCGAAAGGAAATCTGCTTCGAGATACTGAAGGTAAACATCTAGTTTACAACCCTTCTCTCATTCACTGGGACACTGTCAATATGGTTAGGCCTAATATTTGACTATCTTTAATTTTCTATATCTCTAGGTCTCTAATTTTTAACCCCTGAAAGAACATTTTGATCCATTCAAAATTGGTATTGCAGCAACAAAATAAATATGAGCACATTATGGAGAAAACAGCAGACATCACTTTCAAATTTAGCTGATGTAATTATAAGCAATGAAGGAAATAGGCTTAATCCATGAAAGATCACTTTCACACACAAGAATGATAATTTTTTTCTAGCTTGGTGATTTATATACGAGGGTGAGTTTAAGAGAAGAACATTTGGGTACTTTTATTGGAAAAACAATCCCTTGCTGATTACATGTTGCTAGCAGCCAGCCTCTCTTAAACGCATCCTCCTATATAAATTGGCAAGCTAGAAAAATATATTCATAGCTTTCTATGCAGAAGTGCTCATTGCTAAATAGTACGTACACTTCACAAATTGCCTCAGTTCCAGTCTATTCTTTAATTAAATACTACAAATCAAATTTAACTACGTGGTGGACACTGTCCTCTTCTGGACATGCACATAAAAGCATCAACAAAGGAAATGTTTGCACTTAGTCTTCAGGACGACCAGTTCACTTCATTTCAGATTACTGAAGTTTAGAATAGCAGATCTATTAAAATATAAGGATCTGTAATTCCTTTCATGTTTGATCCAAAAGGAGCTTTCCATTAGTTACCAATTTCCTCTTTCACTGAACTTCCACACTTCAAAAGGTGAATATATGTTGTTGGATAGTTGTGGAAAATTAGTACAGAACTTAAGTTGTTTTCCACAGATTCCTATATACTGTAGGAGGCAATATATTTGTAAAAGACTGGGCATTTCTTTGCTTTAAGCCAGACTTTGTTCAATATCTTTTCATGCATGTATAGCTACTGGTTTTGAGAACAGTATTTCACATTTTGAAAATTTAAAGTATCAGCCCTTGTACGGCTTTTCTGTTATGGAAGTGTCAGTGAAAGATGCATGCAAAAGAGAGAGGTAAGTGACCCAACAAATGAAGCTTCATAGAAATTAATGCTTTTGCTATTGCAAAGGAAGATGATTCACTTAAACCTGTACCAGAGAACAAAAAAATTGCTGCACTAGAGATTTCTGAAAACACTTAATTCATTAATTTGGGGGAAAGGAGCATGGCACGTGCTTGACTATTTGGCCAAAGTTAACATAAATTTGCGACTTAAGAGAGACTGTAGAGTGAAATGTTGTGGTGCTGGTAGCACTATGTGGTTTGAGAGTGCCTTGGATAAGATTTCTGGTTTGTTATCTTCCTGATATGGGTAATTGTTTCATGGTACCAGGCTTCTGATTGGGATTATCTGGACTAAGGTCCCTTTTACACAGGACATAGGACATAAAACTGTGCTTAACTTTCATGTTTAGCTGGCCATTGTTGATGTGGTCTTAGCAGCTTAAAGAACTAGGCTTTCGCCCCTGTGAAGCTCTAGGTTAAGCCCACGTGACCCACCAAGCACCAAACCATGCTAAAGCCATTTGGTCTAAAACTACATATAAACCTTGCTTAAGCATGTGTGTTAGCCCTGTCTGTCTAAGGAAAGTTGTACATTCATCTGTTCCATTACTTTTCTGTTCTATCCGTGACTGTTTTCCAGTCCAGATAATAAATGTCATTTATTGGCTAAATATAACTTTTTAATTAGTCTTTTTGCTAATAACACTACAAAACTGAAACCTGTTCACATATAACTGGATTATCTTCAGCTTCTTTCATGAATATACATTTTCAAAGTAGAGGCAGATTTTACCAGCATGGTGACAGCACCATGTTTAAGCACTCTTCTGGAAACTGATGTACAAAATTCTTTCCACTCCTTTAACACCAGCATTTGATAGATTTGTTTGAACTATTGCTTTCTTTAGAGAGAAACAATTTTCTTTGACTAAAACAACTAAGGTTTAGGGTATTTATGTCATGTTGTGTGTGTCCTCTAGGGACACTGATTGAAAGTCACCTAACAATTTTTTAATGAAAGCTCCCAAAAGTTATCATAACATAAAGAACTTGTGTAGGCCTGTTTTATCAATAAGTCAATTCTGAACGCCTAAAAACTAGAACAATATTAATACATTCTGCAGCCTTGTTCACAACTGAGATTATTTTGATAAGAGATTAATAAAATAAATGTGGTTTGCTTTTTTCCCCCCTCTCTAGAACAAGCTTGCCATCTCCAATGTTTTCCAGGAATGATTTTAGTATTTGGAGTATCTTAAGAAAATGTATTGGAATGGTAGGTAAAATATATAAGTTGTGATACAGAAATTAGTGATAAGTTATGGTTGTGGCTATCTCTAAAGAGGACCAAAATGTGAACTGAGAAGCTCACAACCAGAAAGACCAAGGGTGACTCCATGAGCCAATTTATTCAATAGAGCAAAGGCATTTTCTCTTATTAGTCCTCTGAGGATCCTGTACCATCCAGAGCTCTCCCCAGTCTCCTTTTATACTTGTAGTAGAAAACCTTCCAGTTTCACCACAGTACTTCAGATGGGTTAGTGACTAGGTCTGTTTAATCAAATCTGGGAAGCTCTGTGACGGGTCAGCCAGGATCATTCTCGTAGATAAAGGTATAACACAATCCCGTGGTTGGAAATTGAAGCTTGATAAATGTAGGCTAGAGCTAAGGCTTGTCTTCAGTACTGGGGAGATCGACACTGCTGCAATCAATGCAGTGGGTGTCAATTTAGTGGGTGTAATGAAAACCCACTAAACTGACGGCAGAGTGCTCTCCAGTCAACACCTTACTCTTCTCTGGGAGCTGGAAAGTCAACGGGAGAGAGTCTCCCATTACCACAGCACAGTGAAGACATTGGGGTAAGTCGACCTAAGCTACATTGACTCCAGCTATGTTATTCGCTTACCTGGAGTAGCGTAACTGAGGTCGACTTACCCCCATAGTGAAGACAAGCCCCAAGTCACAAATATTTAATATACATTCAGAAAAGTTCTTTGGCCTCTGTTAGACAAGAAGTCAGACTAGATGATCAGTGGTCCTTTCTGGCCTTATCTATAAATTTTAAGCCCACTCCTAGTTAATGGTTAATTGGGAAGGCTTCTTTTCTTTCCATTATGAAATCCCACCATGTAGGCAGGTTCATCTTGGCCACAATGATTAGGTTTCACTCTCTAAAGTGCAATGTGCCAAACTGAAAGTTACACAGTTGCCATACTAAGAGAATCTGCATAGCCACAAGGTGAAAGCACTTTCTGGGAGTAAGTTTTTCCTGTTTATCGGAATTACAATAACTTCAAAAATTTGTTCCCCTTCCACTGCAATCAGAAAACAGACACAATATGCAAGAAACCTACTGAAAGTCCATACAGGAGATAAGATTGCTCAGGAATGTTGTTTTGAACTCCAGAGCACATGGACTTTCACTGAAGCGTTTCAACTTAGAAAGCACTATGATTCTGATCAGATAAGAGTGCAACCTTAAATCTACACAAACGGCTGTTGGCAGCAGGTCTAGCTTGCTCTGCAACGTAGCTCCTCTGTGCTGTTCACAGAAAGACACCTTAAAAGGCTTCTGTGTAATCTGGAAGAAGGAACCAGTTAAAATGAAGCCAGCGCTTTCTTAGGCTTAAACTCTGCTCTGGCAAATGGCTGACAAAGATCTTTGAGACATCTGTTTGTGCTGGTCATGGGTAGGCAGATTTCTCCCTATTCTGTGTTTCCCGAAGAGTAGGAACACCATATTGGAAATAAGTGGTGAATGAGGTTCAGAGGAAATTGAAGAGCAGGAAAAACTGCATTTGGGGAATAAATGACCATGTACTAAAATGTTACAACACTAAAGGTTTATATTTAAATCTGTCAAAGTATAGGTCTTCTGACTTTTTTACTCTATTCTTTCTATTTTTATTAGACTTAAATACTCTTTGCCAATTTCTTATTTCCATACTTAATGAGGCCCACTCTTACTTGTGAAACTTTGTTTACTACTAAGTCTTATCTAGAATACCACCTTGGAGAGAGAGGGGTTTTAACTTGGATGTTAAGTTTACTTTTGTAGCAATTGAGCAAAATGTTGTTGTATGTTTATAAATTAATGATTTAATTTAAATTTTTTAAAAGCTTGACTAGTTTAGAAATAAATCATTAGAACTTGGAAGATATTCCTGATTCATTTGGGCCCACATTTAAACTAAATTTTTAGGTTATATTCATTTTCATGCTGGCTACCTCAAAACATGGTGTTTTTTCTCTTTTTTTGGGGGGGGGGGGGTTTGAAGGTTAGTCATTTCTTAGGCCTTGTCTACGCTGCCACTTTACAGCTCTGCAACTTTCTTGCTCAGGGGTGTGAAAAAACACACCCCTGAGCGCTACAAGTTTCAGCTCTGTAAAGTGGCAGTATAGACCAAGGGTTCTCAAACTGGGGGTCGGGACCCCTCAGGGGGTCACGAGATTATTATATGGGGGGTCGCCAGCTGTCAGACTCCACCCCAAACCCCACTTTGCCTTCAGCATTTATAGCGGTGTTTAAATAAATTAAAAACACTTTTTTAATATATAAGGGGGGGTCGCACTCAGAGGCTTGCTATGTTAAAGGGGTCACCAGTACAAAAGTTTGAAAACCACTGGTGTAGACAGTGCACCAGCGCTGAGAGCCGCACACCCAGCACTGGTAGCTACTCCCCTTGTGGGGGTGGTTTTTTGTTTTGCTTTTTTTACAGAGCTGGGAAAGCACAGGTGCCGCCACTACACAGCCACATTAAGCACTGCCAGTGAAGACATACCCTTAGGTTGCTATCGGAACTGTCTCGAGTTGGTGAATCTTGCCCACGTGCTCAGGGTTCAGCTGATCGCCATGTTTGGGGTCAGGAAGGAATTTTCCTCTAGGGCAGATTGGAAGAGGCCCTGGGGGTTTTTCGCCTTCCTCTGTAGCATGGGGCACAGGTCGCTTGCTGGAGGATTCTCTGCACCTTGAAGTTTTTAAACCATGATTTGAGGACCTCAATAGCTCAGACATAGGCGAGAGGTTTATTGCAGGAGTGGGTTAGTGAGATTCTGTAGCCTGCATTGTGCAGGAGGTCAGACTAGATGATCATAATAGTCCCTTCTGACCTTAATATCTAGGAGTCTGAGTTAAAAACAAAAAACCTTCAGATGTTAATTTGCATAGGTTAATATAAAACCTGTTGGCAGCTAACATGAAGACTATCTAGCACAACCATTAAACAGATCCATTAGTGAAAGTAAACCACTTTCTTCTTGCTGAAACTTGACAGCATCCTCTCAGAATTGTATGAAGAATGAGTCTTAGATTGTTGTTCTACAGTGCTATTGCATTAAAGCAAAGTTAAATAAATCCCGTAACTTTTTAACCCTCTAGTGGAGTTTTGTAGTTTGATGGAGTATCTAATCATACCAGTCTGCCCAACAGATGTAACAAATGATGTAAAATAAATATTGTCTGAACTGGAGATTAAATATTCCAGATTAATTAGGTTGGTCTGTTTTTAAGGCAAGAATGTATAGTTTTCTTTCAAGACTTTACATAACTTATTCCTATTACACACCAGACCTTATTAGCCTTTTTAACCAGGAGATATTTGATAGATCAAGTATGGTTTATTTCAGAAGCTTACTCCTATTGCTTCTCATGCCCGCCATCCCCTCCCCCCAAAGTTGCCTGTTTCACTAATCAGATGGCCTGTGCCTATTCTAAAAATAGTGTTTCTGAATCTTGGTGTTCTCTTTTGAAAGGCTTTGAAGTCCTGAAAATCCCCTCTTCTATGCCCACCATCTTCCTGATCCTCCTCCCCATTAGGGACTTAGATACACTTCTCTCTTTAGCCATCTTCACCAATGCAAGGGAGAGGCTTAGCTTGAGAGATGTGGGTCTCTTTCTTTCAGAAGTTGTTGGCCAGGTCAAGGGATGTTGCACTGCCACTAGGCTTGCGTGACTTATCTCTCTAATAAGCCAATTAAATTCTTGTTACTTAGTTCATTGTGTTTAATCTCTTCAGTTTTAACACAAATTTCTATCCTGTGTCAGGAGCTGTCCAAGATCACTATGCCAGTTATTTTCAATGAGCCGCTGAGCTTCCTACAGCGACTTACAGAATATATGGAACATACATACCTCATCCACCAGGCCAGTTCACTTTCTGGCACAGTTGAGAGGATGCAGGTACTTTGCTTGTAGTAGTGTCTTAAAATGCTTGTGGTGGTCTGTTTGAACAGGTTGGACTGTGGTACAAATACTTTCAGCTAAGAACATAAGAACAGCCATACGGGGTCAGATCAATGATCCATCTAGCCCATGTCCTGTCTCTAACAGTGGCCAGTGCCACATGCTTCAGAGGCAGTGAACAGAACGGCAATTCTGAGTGATCCATCTCCTGTCATCCAGTCCCAGCTTCTGCAGTCAGAGGTTTAAGGACACCCAAAGCATGGGGTTTCATCCCTGACCATCTTGGCTGTTTCTGTTTTTGAACCCTGTTGTACTTTTTGCCTTCACAACATCCACCAGCAATGAGTTCTAAAGGCTGACTGTGCATTGTGTGAAGAAGTTGCATAATTTTGTTTTAAATCTGCTGCCTGTTAAACCTTCTGTTGGAGAGGAGAGATGCTGTAATCTGATGCACATGGAACTGCTTTATTAGTTCTGTTAGCTAGGGTAAAGGCTTTAATATTTCTGAGCTTTTTGAAAAACTATTATGGTTTGTTGTACTCTTTCCAAAACTTGCCAGGCCCATCTGGGAGGCAATTTTTATGCCAAAGACAGAATAAATTTAACAGAGAAAGGTGAAGTGCAATAGAAGAATTTTATGTTTAAAGTAGAAGTGTCAAAGGGAACTCCAAAAGGTGAATGATATATGTTAATATTCTGTTGAACAGTGTGTAGCTGCATTTGCTGTGTCTGCTGTTGCCTCACAGTGGGAACGTACAGGAAAACCGTTCAACCCACTTCTTGGAGAGACGTACGAATTAGTCAGGTAACAAATAGAAACTGCATTTAAGACCAAAGTGTGTGTTATGGAATTTGTGGGTTTATGTAACACGTTGTATGGCTTGAGAATTGCTTTGTGTTTGAAATGGGCTGCATTGTAGGAGTAACTGTTACAAGTGTTCACAGTGCAGGTTGTCAGCGTTTCTGTTGTTACTTCCTCTTTATGGGAGTCTAACTTGCCTGTAAAAATTGCTCTGGGTTGAAAAGTTGTGAAAGTGTCTTTTTTTACTTGAAAGCAGCCTTAATATAATCTAAGTGATCAGAAAAATATCCGTTTTTTAGTGTATAAACCTAGGTTTCAGATCTATACTAAAAAAAAGACTTACCATGTAAACACACATTGCCTGAAAAGCGATTTGTCTGTTGTGCAAATGTCCTTTAAACTGTTACACAAACTCAGGTAATATATACAAACAGATCTTTTTTCATTAAGAACTAAAAAATAAACTAAGACCCTTCTGTTTTGGGTCGCTCTTGCCAACCCGTTACGTTGGGGTCTCATCAGTCAGATACATAATGTGGATGCTGCAGTGTGTCGTCAAAAATTTTGTCATTTAAAAATAGTTAAGCCTGTTAGTATTTCTGTTGAAGTTGTCTGGTGGGCGAGAGTGAGAGACACCGTGGCATTGCTACAATGGTGCAAGTGGTGCAGTCGCACCAGAGCCCTGGCAGTTATGGGGACCCAACCACTAGCAGATGCTGCTGCTGGTGGCAGTACTGATGCAGGTGGCACTGCCCAATGTGCTGTTCTGTTGCCCACCCTGCACTGCAGAGGACCTGGCTGCTGATACCCCTGTCCCAAGCTTGTGCAGGAGCCTGAGTCATGTGGGGTGCATGCACTGTGCTGCAAGGGTGCACAGCTACCCGCGCTCAGGCACTGAGCTGCCCCTGCAGGCACTAATGCAGGGCCAGGACATAGAGTGCAGATGAGGAGGAGCCCAAGGGAGTGGGTGAGGGAGAGGCTGGTGATGGGAACAGGCAGCCAGGAGGAGTGAGGTGGGGTTCAGGGATGAAGATGAGGGAGCTGGCAGAGTGGCAGTAGGGACTAGCAGGGGTGTGGGAGCAGAACACCTTGTGGTAGGGAAGAGGAAACAGGTGGCAGCAGCAGGGCACAGGGATGTGGTGGGGTGAACCTAGGCACTGAAGCACAAAGTGGGGGCTATGGATGTGCGGGGAAGTGGAGACAGAGCTGCCAGCACAGGAAGAATTGGGGGTGGGGGTCTGAGCTGCAGTGTTAGGGATGTGGGAGCCCTTTTCCTGTGACTTGCATCCCAGCAGACCCTCCTTGTGTGTGTTGAATCCCTACTTCAAGGGGAAGCACAAGGTACCAGCACCTAGTACAGTGCAAGGAACGGAAAGTGTATCGAAAGGCTCCTTGACCTGCTGCTCTAATGGTCATGGAAGGATAATATGCTGGAGATGCTAATCTATTTTTCCATTTAAAAGTACCTCTTGATTCTTCAGAAGCTTTCTCCCTCTAATTCAGATCCTTAAAATTTCCAGACCATGTATTCAGGGTGGGAACAAACATTCCCTGTTGCAAACATTCTTCCTTGACTTTTGGACTTTTTAGTATTAGGGGTCATAGTATTTTTGGACTTTTTAGTATTAGGGGTCATAGGGGTCATCTCTTCTATTCCTGTAACTTTTTGATCTAGTTTGCATAACTAGTTTAGGAGTTCAATTTGAAGTTCCTTTCTCCCTCTCTTCTTGAAACTTCATTTTAAACTAGGCAGGAGCTGTGGGATGGAAGGACAGGACTGAGGCTATGGGAAAGTTAGAAAGGCGTTGGAGAGCTGAATTGGGGCATTGTGGGAGCTGGACGGAGTGGATTTCAGAATCAGGAAGAGATCCCCTAACTTATCTTGCACCAGGGCCCTCTGGGGTCTTGCAGCATCACAGAGAGAGATCTGTGTTGCAGTGAGTGTTTCTAAACTAATCAGTGGCTTAAATATCTAGATCCATACATAATTGCTATAACTTTAATTTTGTTTCAGAATGGGTAAAGGAAATTATTTCATTATAGTACCAGTTGTATCAGTGAAACTCACAAAATTTGCATTTCAGAGAACTGCGGAGAACAGTGATCCTGAAAACTTTATTTTTATTTTATTTTTAGAGATGATCTTGGGTTTAGACTCCTTTCAGAACAAGTTAGTCATCACCCACCAATCAGTGCTTTCTATGCTGAAGGCTTGAATAACGATTTTGTGTTTCATGGCTCAATCTATCCTAAACTCAAGTTCTGGGGCAAGAGTGTGGAAGCAGAACCTAAAGGGACTATAACTCTGGAACTTCTTGAGTAAGTTGGCCAGATTACTATATTAGACTTTAGTTTTGAGGCTGTGCAGAATAAAGGCTTATATACTAGTCTCCAGTGCTGTAAGATGACTTTTAATCTATCCACTATTTCATATAGATAAAGCAGACAGTCTTTTTTATGCAGTTTGCAGATTTCCTGCTTTTATGGCTCCTTACAATAATTTATGACACACCCTACTGCTTGTTAACCCTTATTGCCCACTTCATTTTTAAAGGTCTCCTACAGCATGTCTGACCACTTATGCTTAACAATGTGTCCTGCTTTGTATTTACCTTGGACGCTCCAGTTGCCTTCTCCAGACCTGAGGAAATGCTCTGTGAAGTTGAAAAGCTTGTCCCTTCCATTGGAAATTGGTCCAATAAGATATTACCTTACTTATCTTGTCTCTCTCATATCCTGGGACCAAAATGGCTTGAACACCATTCCAAACAATTGTACAGTTCACTGGCACCCCTGAATTGTATAGGCTTCAGGTAATTAAGGCCTTAATCCCGCAAACACTTATGCGTGCTTAACTTGACTACTGTAAGTAGTCCTATTGATTTGCCAGTAATAGATGCACTGAAGCTGCCATGCTAAGCAGTTAACAAAATCAAGCAGTGGCTCCTGTTTTTGCCACACCATGCATGGCTGGTGCATCTTGTTTCCTTGATTTGCTGCCAGTAACTAATAGAGTTCCAGAGCCAGATACTTGCTGTAGAGTCACTCAGGTATATTGTTGAAAGGTGTGATTATGCCAGCAGTTGTTTTTCCATTTGTTTTTTCAGACACGATGAAGCCTACACCTGGACAAATCCTACTTGCTGTGTGCATAATATTATTGTGGGTAAACTTTGGATTGAGCAGTATGGAAATGTAGAAATAACTAATCACAAGTAAGCTGGAACATGACTTGTTAGTTTACTACGTTTTTAAACAAATTATTGCAAAGTAATTTGAGCTAAATGTTTCTTCCTTAGAACTGGTGAGAAGTGTGTATTAAACTTCAAACCATGTGGGCTTTTTGGGAAGGAGTTACACAAAGTTGAAGGCTACATTCAAGACAAAAGGTAAAAATCCTGTCTTCGTTAGACCTACTGTTTAATAAAATGCTACTTAAATTTCTAATAAAGATATATGTGAGAACTGTTGGAATTAAATACTGTTACAATATACTGTGCCAATGGCGGGGGTGTGTGTATCTTGTTAGTAACTATAATGTACGGTAAGATGAGGATTCAGTCTTAAATCTGTTCTTAGAATCCTTTCTCATAATATTAAAATCTGAAAACACTAACTTCATAACTTGTTTAAGCTCTTCCTAAAATTAGTCCTTTTTTTACAGCAAAAAGAAAGTTTGTGCGCTCTATGGGAAATGGACTGAGTGCTTGTACAGTGTTGACCCAGCTACATTCGAAGCTTACAAAAAAAATGACAAGAAAAATACAGAAGAGAAGAAAAACAGTAAACAGGTATTAGACATGTAAAGAGGTGGTGTCTGAAAGGCACAATAGAACACTTAGCAGTCTAAGGTGCCTTTAGGCTTGTTACTGTTTTATACTTTTTCGTTTGACTTTTTCTTAGTAAGATTCAAAGAGGGTTTGGACACGTATTATATGGATTAATTATAATAATTCTGGCTATTATCCAAACAGTTTTGGAAGGATTAAAATCCTTGTGCTTCAGGGTTTAAGACAATATCTAATTATTAAGGGTTAACATGAAACTTTCATGAGAGCAGATTTCCCCACATCTGCCTATTATTGGGTTCTTTCACCCTCCTCTGGAGTAACCAGGTGGGATAGGGGACTAGAGGGACCATAGGTCTGATCTAGTATGGGAACTCCAACCTGATGCTTTTCAGGCCTGTAAGCAGGATAGATGAGGGTCTGTTCAGAAGGATTTCATCACTTGGAGGAATGTCATATTCTGAAGGTTTTGCAAAGATTTTTACAGTCTGCACTGTCCAGGAAATCTTACTCTTAACAATTCTTTCAATAGAAACACGCTCTTTTAAACCAATGACCGTGAAGGTTCTTGTAGTAATTATACATACATGCCACCATTCATCTTAAATGACAAGATAACATTTTTACTAAAAATCTGAGAACCCCTCCATGCCACCGAAGATCACCATGCTTGTTTTACTCCTTTGCCCTGATAGATTCTAACTACTCTAAAGGCAAGTATGCCTGTGTAGATTTACATTATTGCTGCACAGGAGAGCTCTAAAGCTCAGGGGATTACCACCCTCTCTTTGAGGCTGCATCTCTGAGCCTCTGGGAGGAGGAGGAGAAAAGAAAAATATACCCTGCACACTTGTTATCATCCACCTACTTGTTTGTTTTCCCTTGCAGTACTGAAGATTACTATGAATGAAGTAGTTTTGTGTACGAAGCTCAAGCTTCAGGTTACTTTTGGTTTCTCATGGGCTTTTAGTTAGTAAAATATACTTGCCTACTTTGCCTTTTCTTCATTTAATTAAGAGAATTTTATACACCATTTCACTGAATCTGCTAGTCAGAATTTTATTCCATTCTCTATAGCTAACTTTTGAGTGTCTTTTTCCCTCCACTTCTCTGACTGGAAGAGACTCTTTGACATCCAGATCAGGTATCCAGTCTGTCTGATCTTGGGAGTTGGCACAATAACTTAAAATGCAAAATCTGCTGAAGAATGTTAATTAAAACTACAACTGCTTTGAAAATTGGCAAATGAAACTAGACAAAGAATCTAGTGAAAACATGTTTTTCTGACAGTGTCTTAGAGCTGTCAGGACTCTAAGAGAAGCATCGTCTTTCTTTTTATTTTTTGGAAAAAAGCATGCACAAATAGCATCCTGGAAGGTGCCACTTGGATGCCCCTGAGAACCCCCCACTCAGTCACTGCCTAACTCTGTAGGTGCCTAAATTCCCTAGGTGCTGAAGTTTCCAGTAATAGAGTCCCCTAGACATCTATGTTTCTGCCAGTGCCATTCAAAAAGTCAACTAAGTCCTGATGCTGCCAAGCAGTTCAGTGCCCTAGCTCATGTCTAAGACTTGGCAGGGTTTTTGAACTGGGCTTTCCCCCATTCTCTCGCCTGCAGAGCCCAATCCAGTAGGTGTGCTTGGAGCACTCCTAAACCACACAAAAGATAGTCAGGAATGAGCACATAAATATAACAAGGTTCACCAACTGATAGTTATAGTCTTTCACACACCAGGTGAGTGCCTAAATCACCAAGTTATGGGATATTCTGATGTGGGATTCTGTCTCTCCTGTTGAAGCTGTTCCATTTTGTATAAATTGAATATTCTTTGGGCCAGAGAGTGTGACCATATAGGGCGCACTCCTAGGAGAAAGGAGATCTGGGTTGCAGTCCTTCCCCAAATCAGTCAGAGCAGGGATTTGAAAACAGGTCTCCCATGTCCCAAGTGAGTTCCCTAACCATTGGGCTACTAGCTAAAATAGGGCTCTCTCTCATGTGCTGGTTTTTTGCAACAAGACTAACTTTGCTTAGGCTCCTAACTCTGAATGGGTTTGGTACTAGTCAATCTATTAATTAATGAATTGGATAATGTAATGGAGAGTGTGCTTATAAAACTTGCAGATGAAGCTACGCTGGGATGGGTTGCTAACACATTGGAGGACAGGATTAAAATTCAAAATAACCTTGACAAACCGGAGATCTGGTCTGAGACCAACAGGATGAAATTCACTAAGACAAGTGCAAAGTCCTTCATTTAGGAAGGAAAAGTCAAATGCACAAATACAAAACGGGGAATAACTGGCTAGGTGGTAGTACCGCTGAAAAGGATTGGTGGGTGTTACAGTGGATCACAAATTGAATGAGTCACCAATGTAATGCAGTTGTGAAAAAAGCTAATATAATTCTAGGGTGTTGTGTGCAAGATACGGGCTGTAACTCTCCTGCTCTACTCGGCAGTGGTGAGGCCTCAGCTGGAGTGCTTTCTAACTATAAGGGTAGTTAAACTCTGGAATAGGCTTCCAAGCGGGGTTGTGGAACCTCCATCACTGGAGGTTAAGAACAGGCTGGACAAACACCTGTCAGGGATGGTCTAGGTTTACTTGGTCCTGCCTCAGGGCAGGGGTCTGGACTTTAAGATTTCTCAAGATCCTTTCTGGGTCTCCATTTCTTTGATGGCTGTGAATCCTGTCTAGAGATAGGTGCCTCCCTTGGGCCAAAAGCTGGGTGTCTGGCTACCTTTCAGTTTAGGCCCCTTCCCTCCCTTCCCCTCATTATTTCTTACTGGCTAGCTTAGGCAGCTTGCTGATTTCTGTGAATCCCATGCTTAGGCATCTCGTTCTCCCCATACATTGTATAGAGAGCCTGGGTACATGGCTGAGGGTTCCTTCAAGTGGCAAGGTGCCTAAAAAGTAGGTGCTGTGCCTAGGTCTGACTGCGGATCTAGCCCCTTGGGACCACAAAGGACCACAAAGGATTTCAGTTCCTTTTCGTTTCAGAAACTCCATGGCAACCCACTTTTCACCTTCTAGTGGTGATGACACAGTGCCGGTGCTTCAAGGACGTGATGTTGCTTCAAGCACACTCTCTGAGCTTCCAAGTGACTTAAGGGTTACACTCAGATGTGTCTCACCACTTCATGCTAAAGTGATTTGCTTCAGTACCATGAAAATATACGTAGCCCATGGGAAGCCTCACCTAGCCAGTGTTTCCAAAATCTCATGGCTTCCTACTACTTCTGCTCTTAGTACTGCCATCATGTAGATTCACTTTCCTTTTCTTTAGGGGACCTACTTGGATGTGCTGCTGGGGGCCAATGTCTCATCAGCAGATTATCCTGGACCTCCCCATAAAGCCTTTGATTGTATAGGGATAAAATCTTTTTGTGAAAAAACTTGCTATCCTTTTCATCAAAAAGATGTTGAGACGTTAGACCGGTCTCTCTCTATATGCAGAGATGGATATCCTGTTAACACACAGACAGATTGAATGAAATGAATACTGCTCCTTCATTATATTAAGGCTGTAACACCATTAAACCAGGGTGACCAGTTGTGACCCCTGAAACTCAGGAGATTTTCCATGCTGCAGACTGCACCTCTGTATTAAAGATGGGGGCAACTGCAGTCAGCTTTCTTGTGTGTGCTGGTTGCAGTCCTCAGGTAAGATAAGTGAAGTCTGGACACTACTGAATTTAGGGATCCTAGAAGCCTAAAGAAAGTGAAGCTAGAGTGATATTTTAACAGTCTGGAAAGTTTTTAATGTCATTAATATACAGAATAGTGACGGGTATGTTATTCCAGTGGTTTTCAACCTTTCCAGACTACTGTACCCCTTTCAGGAGACTGATTTGTCTTATGTACCCAGAGTTTCACTTCAGTTAACTACACCTCTACCCCAATATAACGCGGTCCTCGGGAACCAAAAAATCTTACCATCTTATAGGTGAGACTGTGTTATATCAGGGTAGGGAGAGGAACCACTCCCTGCCCCAGCTCACCTCCACCGCCTTCCCCCTCCCCTGAGCATGCCTCCACCGCTCTGCTTCTCCCTCCCTCCCTTCCAGGCTTACCGCACCAATCAGCTGTTTGGCGTGGGAAGCCTAAAAGGGAGGGGGTGGGAGAAGCAGAGCATCGGCAGCGTGCTCAGGGGAGGAGGCAGAGTGGAGGTGAGCTGGGGCGGGGAGCAGCTCCTCTGTGCCCCCCCTCGCTTGCTGCGGCCCCCAACTCATCTCCACTCCACCTCCTCCCATGAGCACACAGCAGCTCTGCTTCTCCCTCCCTCCCAGGCTTTCCGTGCCAATCAGCTGAGCAAGAGCTTGAGCTGATTGATGCGGCAAGCCTGGGTGGGAGGAGAAGTGGAGCTGCGGTGCGCTCGTGGGAGGAGGCAAAGGCGAGCTGGGGCAGAGCGGGGCTGCAACAAGTAAGGGGGGACTCAGAGGAACCGCTTGCAGTAATATGAATTCGGACATAATGCAGTAAAGCAGCCCCGCTCCTCGGAGCGCTGCTGTACCGCATTATATCCAAATTCACGTTATGTCAGACCGCATTATATTGGGGTAGAGGTGTACTTGCTTACAAAATCAGACATAAAAATACAAAAGTGTCACAGCACATTATTACAGACAAATTGCTGACTTTTTCTCATTTTATCATATAATTATAAAATAAATTGATTGGAATATAAATACCGTGATACTTGAGCCTGTTTTTCATTTGTGATCCTTCTCTGAAGCCAGAGCCCTGAGTGGTGTGCCTAAAGCTTAACCCCTGCCACCTAGGGCTGAAGCATGTAATTTAGCCCCTGTGGCATGGGGCTCTGGGCTACTGCCCTGCACTTGCAACCCTCCTAAACCCATCTTGCAACCACCAGATGAGTTGAGTACCTCTGGAAAGACTTCTGCATGCCCTCAGGGGTATGTGTACCTCTGGTTAAGAAACACTGCGCTGTTCAGTTCTATGCATCAATTGAGGTGATGTCCAGGGAACTGCTGAGAACAGCTGAAATGTGCTTCTAGTTTGTAGTCACTCTTCATTGTAACTTGGGTAATGTGTATGTACATATTGAAACACAATCTGAAACACACAACCAACTATTTACAAGCTTCCATGGAACAGTAAAATTTATAAAAGGTCTGGTGCCTTGTTTATGGATTAGTTTGTTATTCATACAGGGCTTCTTTCTTTCGATCTGGTAGCATTTTACCTCAATTTCTTTGTCATTCTGTTCTGCAAGGGATACTGACAACTCTTTGGAAATCAGTGTGTTAGCACAGCCCAGGAATATCCAACTGAGAGCTGCATTGGCAGCAGCCAAGGGAGTAAATCTACTATGCATGACATTCTGGTTACTTTGCAGCCATCTTAAATATTGAAAACACCAGACCAAAATAATCTCATTACTAAACCAAGTTTTAATAGTTTGGCTTGGTGGCATGGATGGACCCCAGTCATGTCAGAAGGGTTCAAAACCATACACTAGCTTAAGTTTCTCTGAGTGCTGAAATGCAGATACAGCAAATGGCCTTGTCCATGCTGCCTAGCCTAACCCTCATAGAACCAAGTTCATTCACAACAGGGCTTAGACTGTGCTTATGCATAACTGGAAATTGTGTTCATTGTGTTCATCTGTCTGCTTAGATTTCTACTAAACAATCTCTAAAGATCTCTAAAGCTTTTCCCATGCTGCGGTGGAATCATTTTATCTAGAACTAACCTATAAACTAACATGCTGGGACAAAAATTGTCATCCAGTAGCTCAGCATAACACGTTATGGTTTAGTCTAGTATAGGGACTGACCAAGCTGTTTGCCCTGTTGTGACTGAGCTGTTACCAAACCCTGCCAACAGCTTGGGACTTCAGGTTTATAGTATAATTTAAGGACACTGGTTAATGTGTGTTTCAGTTCTGTCTATGCTGCTGGACCAAAGCACCTTTTTAACCAGTTGGAGAACAGTCTACCCCTATCGTTACCCTCTACTACTCTAGCTAATTTGGATGGAAACTTAAGCAGTATTCCCAGAAATGTATTAACTATGGTACAGCACTGTCATCCTAGCCAGTGTGCATCAACCTTGACAGTTCAGTCAGCCTTCTAGATTAGGTAGTCTATTCTCAGAAGAGCATTTGTTTAATGTGTTTCATGTTTTCACTGTTGACATCATAATGTCAACGGAACCGAAGACCTCACTTGCTGAACAGCAATAATACAGCAGTTACACATACACAGACTGTAGGATGCATGTTTCCTTAATGTAGGAGAAAAAAGAAAAGGTGGTCTGCACTTTCAGCATAAATAAAACCAAAATTGATTTATATTGTAAAAGGGGGGAGGGGAATCCCTCACATGAGTGTTCTCTGTGGTGCTGAGAAAAAATAGTAACTTCAAAATGTGGATTTGAAAGCACTTATTTCTCAGTAGCTGCACGCTGAAGGAATAAATAAATGTAAAAAAAAAAAGAAATATTGGCAGAACTGTCTAAATAGAATGGCTTTTGTTTTTAATTTCTTTGAGGAGCTGATGGCTCTTCTAATCTTGACATGCATCTAGAAAAGCCAGTGGGTGTTAAAATGATGACATAAGCTTAGGGGGCAAAATAAGTATTGGGGCAGTGAATGTGTGTTCTCTGATGGCATGTTTCATGCCTTTTTATGTCTTTAGTCTCATTTCACTGTAGCTTCTGTGTAGGACTGTTCTATGGTTTGTGTTTAAGATTATTTAAACAAACAGCCTGTGACTCAGCTAAATTTTCTTGTATCTGTGCTGCTTATAGGTGGGCAATTCTGAAGAACCAGATGAGATGCCTTTGCCAGATTCTGAAAGTGTGCATGTTGTTCCTGGAAGTATTTTACTCTGGAGGATAGCTCCAAGACCTCCAAATTCAGTTCAGGTTAGCCAGGGCTCTGCTTAAATGTTTGGTGCTTTGACAATTTGTTGTTAAACTGTAAAATGTACAGTGAACATCTTAGTCACTGAATTCCCTTGCTCGTGATGCAGTGATTAAAATAACTTTCCAGTAAAATCAATTTTGCTGCAATGATCTTGAACTTTCCCATCACAAACTGTAATGAGCTATGTCATGTGGAACTGAATATGTAGGCCTCCTGTTGTGGATGGACAGACCAGCATGCACGCATGGCTTCTTTCTAGCTTAGCTTAACTTCTTCTCCACAGAATCACTGATTATGATGAATTAGGCAATTGCTCTACTTAGCGGTGGCCTGGAGAATTCACTATCCCACTCTGTTGCCACTTACGTACTGCCATCCATTTGGGAGGCAGGTTTAGTGCAGGACAGCCAGTGCATGAGACATTTCATCAGAGGTGTCCATAGAGGAGCAGAGTCTGCAAAAGCTATGTAAGACAAACCATGGAGTACAAGAACCCATAAGTCAGAGGAAGGCTACATAACGTGAGTGGGTGTATGAAGATCTACTGAGCTGGACAGACAGCTGAGCAGGACAGATGAGTAGATGTATAGCTAGAGAGATTTGGAAGCAGAAAAAGAAAATAGGGTAGGGTGGTCATGTAGGTGCATATAGGGAGAAGGGTAGGTTGCTTTAGTAGAGTCAGTAAGGAAAAACCCTGGAGGATGAATAAGGACAAAGAGGTTGTTTCTCCCTCCCTCTGTTTGGCTAGTCAGATCTCATTCTAATTAGACATGAGCATAAAGGTTCACCCAGTTATACCTGGCACGTGTTCACCATGCTAGCATCTTCACATTACTACTGTATAATACCTCAGCAATCAGAAAGTGGCTACGGTTGTATGTTACTATGTATCGGTGCTCTTTTGATTTTTGAAAATCTCTTTTTATATGTGAAGACTCTTAGCAGCCAAAACTTTCAGAACGCAATCCTTTAATTTTTGTTTCTCTCTTTCAGATGTACAATTTCACTAGCTTTGCTATGGCTTTGAATGAATTGGATAAAGAAATGGAGAGTGTTGTTCCTAAAACTGACTGCCGGTTACGGCCAGATATCCGAGCGATGGAAAACGGTGAAATAGGTAACTTTAAAAAATAAAAATACAAAATAACTTGTCAAAGTTGAAAGAGTCGTGGGAACTCCAACTGAAAGGTTACAGATACTGCCTTAAGCAATAAAAAGCCATCTTTACCAATAAGCTGCTTTATTTTTCTTTTTTTTTTTTCTTTGGTGGTGGTGGAACATGCCTTTGAAATATATCCTTGTAGAGGTGAGGTGAAAATATGCTTAAATGTATAAGCTTTATGCCAGGCATGTTACTCATTCTTTCATTATAAGCATTAATTTTTTTTTTTTAATTTATCAGAGTGACAAGACTGAGGCCAGATAGAAGGCACAGAGTGCTGCCTTGTCAAGCTTTTTAATTGGACCTTTTATGAAGGGCAATAGCAAAGTTGTGAAGTTTGCCATGATGTTTAGAACTTGCCGCTGTACAAAGTCTTTCTTTATTCCACTATAAAATAGTCTTTCTTTACATCAACTAATCCAAAATACCAATTTCAGTAATGTGATTGAAACTGCTGAAGTTAAGCTTTCCCCTCAAAAGAAGTGCATGCTCGCTTTAAAATTATTCACAGCAAAAGGGTGAGGAAAAAAATAGACTTCATTAGGAAGAAACAAACAATTCCTCTGAAAGTCTAAGTGAAACTAGTACAAATTGCTTGTGTCTCTTAATCTAGAAGTGTCTAAGATGCCTATCACCATGGTGTCAGTGCAGTGTTTACTGATGATTGTATAGTGAGGAGCATGGTTTGGTGCTCGATACTCTGATTTGTAACATTTATATGTATGAAAGCAGCGTGGCCTGGAGGATGGAACTCGGGGACTAAAGACTTGGGTTCTATTCCCAGCTGTGTCACTGGCCTGGAGGGTGACCATGGGAAAGTTACTTCACCTCTGTGCCTCTGTCTATGCACCTGTAAAATGAGGATAACACTTTTTCACCTGCTTTAAGCACTTTGAGATCTACGGATTATATAGCAGCTGGGCATTGTGATGCTGTGGTACTGAGGAGTTCTCAAAGATCAGTAAGGAGATCTTTTGAGGCTTTTAAAAATACACTGTCGACAAGTTGCTTCCTTTGACCTGTCTGATCAGTCTCTACCTTTCCCTGTAAATTGGATTATTCTGTGGCTAGTGGAAGTGACTCATGCTATATTGCATCCATATTTACCCAAAGCATTTAGTATTGCATTCTTAATTTACAGAATGTACTAACTTTGAGTGATCTATCAATATCTGCAAGCTGTGTAGTGGTGGTAGTATCTGTTTCTGCTCAGCTGTCATACTGCCACACTCCGAGTGCTGCGATAAGCCAGTGGAGCTGGAGAAATTAGAGAGGCTGTAAATCAGGAGAATCACTTTGGTAACGGTTTTAAACTCTGATCATTTGAAGATCCAAATATGAAGCAACTTGACAGAGATCACACAAACTTGTGACACAGGTGGGGATTGAATCCAGATCTTAATTCAGTCCAGTAATCATTTTCTCTTCTGAAGGGAATCATAAAGCCCCTCTTCTCAAGAACTGGAACAAATTCTCAGGTTCCTTAGGTCATGGCTCAACCCACAGTTTGGGTGTACAGCAAGACCCATCTTTGATTAATCAATCTGACTGGCAGAGCTTGTCCTCTAGTTGGCCTTACTTCTAAAACAGAAATGCTTCTCCTAATATTGCCTCTGTGCTTTGCGGGGTGTGCTCTTTAAAGGAGGCTTTTAAAACTGGCATGATCTGACTAAATTAGTGTTGGAAACAAGTTGAGTCTTTATAACCGGGGCTTCAATAAAAGTGATCAGGGAACTAAGATTTTTTTTTTCAACTTCTGTTCCTTTTCAGATCTAGCGAGTGAAGAGAAAAAAAGGCTAGAAGAGAAACAAAGGGCTGTCCGCAAAAACCGGTCCAAGTCAGAGGAAGACTGGAAAACAAGGTCAGTGCATTTGATAGTTCTTGGCTGTTCAGATTAGGTGTCTGTCCACACACAGGTTATTCTCAATCACCGGAAGAGTTGATGACCTCTTCAGCTCTGCTGCTACTATCCTATTTGAGATCTTGGTCAGAGTATTTGTCATGCCTGATTTAGTGAGGAATGTACTGGGCTCACTATAACATCAGCCCTGTTTCATTTTCCCACTAACCCCCCACCAGTCTCTAAACAGCCTGTCATGCCTGCTGAGCATCACTTGTTCCATCAAGAACACAGCTATTGGCACTGACGTCCACTCCCTGTGACACGTGCAGTCTGTGATGTTGTACAACTGACCAATACACGTGTGCTCTGCCCTACAATAGAAGAGATTCTGGTTTGATTTGATCTCCCTACGCAATCAGTAGATGAAAATAGTAGAGGAGACCATGTGCTTGGCCCCAGAGAGAAGGGAGCTCTTCTCTTTGTAATGATTCCTCCAGTTAACTATTGTTATGTATCTTCACATCCATGACTCCCTAAAAACCACCCAGTTTTATTCCTGTGGGTGCACATCGGTGCCAAAATCTAACCAAAGGATTATTCCTTTTCCAAGGACTATATTGGTAAGCAATCAAGCATATTTATTTAAAACGCTACTCACATTACCCAGCCTATGACCGGTTTTGCTTCCTCCAAGTTGGCACAATATGCTGCCTGGTCCATGTTCCTGACTATTGCAACTGTTTATGATCTAGCTAATGTCACAACTGGAAGGGCTGGGGAAAAATTCTGAATGAGAGCTGAGATTTCATAACTCTCTTCCCTCCCACCACCTCAAGAAAGACTTTGCAACCTATCTTGGCCATGATTCCTAGGTGTTGAACTGTTTGTGTGACCTTAAAGTTTTCTTGTTAACAGTCTCTCCCTACCTCGTGTGTCCTCTTGGAAAGCCAATCATTTTGAATGGCACAAGCCTGTGTGAATAGTAGATGCTTGACCATAAAACTTTACCACAATTTGTGAGCCAATTATGCAGATTATATAAACAAAACTTTGAAACTTGAAGTTCCGTCTGTCAGGATCTGTCATTCTGCTAGATTTTTTCCAACTTTGCTTAAAAGCCACTTCAGTAACACATCTAACTCTATGTACATGTGCTCTTGAATTCCTCACTGAATAAAGAACAGCTTTAGAAAGTGTTCTGTTGGTTCTCCTTGCTCTCCCAGTGTCTTTTAGGTTCTATTATACAGACAGATTGTAATTGAAATCTTAAGCCTTCTGTTTCTAAATTTAAATTTTAGTAGTTTAACTGAGAGTTCTGTGATCAACATAATACATAGGTCCCTCATAAGGATACTTGGGCTCCCAGCATTTGACATTAAAACCCTTTAGTCCAATAACTTACCACCACCCTGCTGTAGGTAGGGGATATGGGAAAGCAGAAGGGTATTGGAGCATTTATTTATCCATTTGACTTTCCCTGATCTTTTTGGGGTTGCACGTTAACCATAATGTGGTAGAGAACATGGAGTCTGAGTGCCACCCACTGACTCGCCCTTCTCTCCGGCGTTTCACGCAGGCTTCTTGTTACCCTATTGCCAACTAAACCGAGTTGCAAGTCGTTAGAATCTTTATAAATTAGTAAAATAGAGCTCCAGTTCTGCAGACCCCCCAAATTCCTTCCCCTCCAAGACTGAATGTATCCTACTCTTCATCTGGATATTTAGAGCCTTAAAAACAAGCTACATGGCACTGTACGGAACACCGTTTTAACGGAGGAGTCAGAGCTGCCACCTGGAATAAGATGAACCTACTAATGGCTAAACAAGATAAGAATTTAAACCCACACAGGATGTCTTCAAAGCAAAAAATAAAAGCAAACTTTTATCTCTGGACTCGGTCAACACATGCTACAAAGTCGTAGTGTTGTGCACTGTCTCCTTTGTTTCTCCTAAATTCATCTCTTTTTTTTAATACACGTTGTAGGAAGGATGTAAGTGCTATTCAATGTTCTTCATGCTTGAGTCTAGGAAGCCATTGAAAAGCTTTGGCAATACCATTCTTCAGCTTGTTTGATAGTGGAAGTTACTCTCCTGAAGCACTAAGTGCTACGATAACTCAGGGCCACTTTACAAATAATTTGAAGGGGCACCTGCTGTGCTGTGCCGTGCCAACACTTCGTTACCAATCAGATGACTGTATAGTCTGTTTTATCGGGCTTTGAGCAGCTCTCATCCTTCTGGATTAGAAGATTAAAGTGCCTATCACCCCTTGAATTTGAAAACTGATGCCAGCTTCAAAAGCACTGCAGCATGAAGTATAATGAGACTCCTCAGTATCGGCAATTTTCCCCTACTTCCAGACTTGAAGACCTGGGATAGTAAACCTGCTGGTTATTTGTTGCAGAGAACTAAGTGCCTGTTAAAATAAACCTAAAATACTCTGGCAGTGGGGTGGAATTTCCTCTGTGCTAAGATTCCTGTACACTAACAACCTTCTTGTCCTCCCTGTTCGTTCTTCTCTCCTCCACGACCCCTCTGGTGTCCAACAGCATGCCACCTTCGGTGTAATGACTGGAATTTGAAGCTCCACCGTGGCCCTCAATGGTCCACAGCCACTATTCTAGCCTTTCTTCTGATGTCAAGGAAGGGTATATCTAAGGCAGGAGTCGGCAACCTATGGCACGTGTGCCAAAGACTGCACGCCAGCAGACTTTTTTTTTTAATGGCACGCTGCTGCCTGCCGGGTCCCAGCTGCCGGCCCCGCTCAGCACCCACTTCCGAACCCAGGCCAGGACCCTGGCAGGCAGCAGCGTGCCATTAAAAATCCTGCCCTACACCCCAACCTGCTCCTTCACCCCCAGCCCTATGCTCAGTGCACTCCCACCCTCAGCTCAGTGCAGAAAGAGAGGAAGAGAATGGGCTAGAACCAGGGAGAAGGTAGGTATCTACTCTATGTGGGCAGGGCCGGGATCCCAGACCGGCAGCAGGCTGAGCGGGGCTGGCAGCCGGGACACTGGCTGGTAGGAGCTGGTGGACGGAACACTGACTGGTAGTGGGCTGAGTGGAAGTGGGCTAAGCCGCTCAGCCCACTGCTGGTCTGGGGTTCTGACTGCCAGCCGGAGTCCCGGCCGCAGGCCCCGCTCAGCCTGCTGCCGGCCTAGGTGAACAGAACCCCAGGCTGGCAGCGGGCTGAGCAGGACGGCGGCGTAAGATCAGCATTTTAATTTAATTTAAGCTTCTTAAACATTTTGAAAGCCTTGTTTACTTTACATACCACAATAGTTATATAATATATAGACTTATAGAGAGAGACCTTGTAAAAAACGTTAAAATGTATTACTGGCACGTGAAACCTTAAATTAAAGTGAATAAATGAAGACTCGGCACACCACTTCTGAAAGGTTGCTGACCCCTGATCTAAGGTGTGGAGTGGACAGCTGAAGTCCAGCTGCAGGAATATGAAGCCTAAAACTCAGCCCACTGCACTTTCCCTACTCCTCATTTCAGTTATTTTATTTCCAGTCCTTCCCTGCCATTGAACCCCAGTTTGCCTTGGGCACGAATAACTTATTCTGCAGTTGTTTTCAAATCTCTCATTAGTTTTGCACTCAGTACTGGGATTTATTTTACAGTAGTTGTGCAAAACAGGACAGCAAAAGAAACGTGAGGGAACCTGGGAAGCAATAGGATGAGAGGATTTAAATCCCCATCCCATAGAGAAAAAGGGAATTAAGAGAGTAAAGAATTTGCAACGTGGTTCAGAAAAGTCAGTGGGGAATGGGCCTTCCCAAGTATATCTTTTTCAAAGCCTTTTACTCTCATTCCTACCCTTTAGCAAGCCAGTATAGCTCTACCCTGACACAGACGATTCTGCTTTGAAATTTAGACTAGAAAAATCTAGCTGAAGGTTTCCAGTGGGCTCTGCACCAGACTCATGAGGCTCATCATCCTATTTCTCTTTCCCAGAAATTGAGCTCTGCTGACTAGCACACAGTTAAGTGTGGTGGGCTGTATTCCATCCTTTGAGAAATGTTTAATGATATCATTCCAAGACAAGCATTGTAACGGAACAGCACAGTGTTTCTGGAGTGCCACATAGCCTCTGGGGTTGGGTCTATAAGTAGTACGAGAACTCTCCACTGGTAAGCAAACCCGACTCTTCTGCACACCCACATTCTGAGTGGTAATGCCACGTAATCATACTGTTTGTTTTACACGGAATGTCTAGTTGTAACCTTGAGGTGCATTTTTTTTTCCTTTTCCAACTGAAGTCATCCAACAGCCCAGGGTCCCAGGTTTGGACTTGTCTGATTTCCTTCTCTCCCCACCCCACTCCCACTTTTTGCTTGCTTTCTCAAAGTGATTGGCTTGGTTTGGCTTGCCCTAAGACTAGCACAGAACAATGTTTTTGTAATTCTTTTGAGTTAATATATGGCGAAGTTCTGGACGCACTTGGTCTCCTCTCCCTTGTCAGAATGCCAGGGTTTATTTGTTTCAGTGACTCTGAATAATCCAGTGTGCGTTCTAGGTTTCCTTACCTTAACTACTACTGTAAGTACACAAATTGCAATAGGTAGGTACTGCATGCTTTCCAGACTCTTCCTATCAGTTTCCCCATTATCATTCTATGTCAGGAATTCTTCAGTTTACTTGAAATAAAAAACAAAGTAGGGGGGGAAATTTTCAAGGATTGCTAGGATCTAGAAACCATCTGTTTGGACAATGGCATTCACATTTGGCACTTCTGATAAGAAGATCAAGGTATGGTCATGGAAAGCTAGATTGCTTTGTGGTCTCTCTATTTAAGAAAATTATGCAGAAAACAATCCATATTTTGAGATGAACCCTTCTACATATTTCCAGGAATGTTCAATCCTCTGTTTAGGGAATACATAGCTTAATATCTGCAGTGACTAGTTCTATGGTGCAACCATCATTAACTACGCACTGTAGAAAAGTGCACTCCTTCAGGCAAGATCTCTATCCTTTTGTTGACTACGGTCTTCTTTTGTCTACTCTTCTCATAATGGCAGGATTTTCATAGGGACTAGTGATTTTGGGTGCCCAGTTTCAGACACCTTAAAGGGGCCTGACATCAGAGGGGGTTTGTTTGGGTGCTCTGTTTGATACCTGATTTTTCCAGAAACAGTCACTAATCCACTTTTGAAAACCTTGGCCAATGGTCTAAAGACTGTGTTAAGCTCCTTGGCACAAAGACCTTATCTTTCACTGAAACACACTGAACACCTAATGCTGTTGCAAGCAATATTAGTGCTCTCCTTTCCTTTCTCCTCCAATCACTCCCAAGGTAGTGGTTGATCTAGTATACCCTATATCCTTCACAACCTTAGCCCCCGCTCCATTCTCACTTCACTGGGTGTATGAACCCTAACACTATTCCCAGTAAACTAAATTTTGCTTCTATAGCACCACCCACTAGAAATAAAGTGTACACTTTTAACAGGAAGGGTAATTAACCATTGGAACAACTTAGTAAGGGCCACGGTGAATAATCCATCACTGACAATTTTTAAAATGAGTGGATGTCTTTCTAAAAAATCTGCTCTAGGTATTATATTGGGGCATTTCTATGACCTGTGCTATACAGGAGATCAGACTAAATGAACACAGTGGTCCCTTGTGGTCTTGAAATGTGTGAACTATGAGCAGTAGATCAGATATGAGTCGTGCAACGATTTTGCTGCATCTTCCAGAGTCCTTCCTGCTCAGCTTAACTGGTACTTGGCACAGAATAAGAATGATTTAAAGACTTGGACAGGTTGTTGTACAAGGTATAGTAGATCTATGTCACCACATTTTTAAATCTAGATAGAACATGCTACAGTTTGCAACCTCATTTGATTATGTAACAGACCATAATAGAATGTACTGTGTGTATATATAAATATAAAACGCTGTCAGCCTTTCTGGTTTTTAAAAGGCAAAATTTATATTCCTAAACAACCGCAATATGCTCAACTTCCATTTTATTCAATCTTTCTGAAACCTTAAGGTGATGCTGAATAGTTCCTTATGCTTGAGACAATGTTAATTGCAGTGGCGTTTACAAAGCAAGGATTGTTCTGGGGTGAATTAAGCTCCAAAAGGAGGCTAAAGTGTAAGCCATAAAGCCATGTACAGCAGGGGCACTCAGATGCCACAATCATTGTTTGTTTGGCTAATACACAGGCAGATTTTTTAAAAAATCTAGTTCACCCCTCTGAAGGCTGGTCCTGTGTAATATGATGTTGGTGTGAGGCAGAGATGACTAACGGGGCACAGATTTAAAGACTGGGGAGAAGGTTGACATATTGCATGTTATGTTAATAGGGGTGTTTGTATTGGAGGGAATACCTGTGAGACTTATCTGGGCTGTGGTAAGATGTGCTTCCTGATGTATAATGTACAAACGAACACATACCATTGGGTATCTTATGATGTCGTACTGCTCGGGGGAGGGGAGGAGAGTTGCTGACACTCAGGCCATAAAAGGGGACTCCATGCTACATCAGAAGTGTACTTGTCAATAGTATGGCTCCTTCATACATCTTACCTTACAAATGTGTAACTATCACTGTTTGTGAATATACTGGAGAGCTTGAAAACATTCTCAGACTTGAACAATAAGTGAAACCCTAGTATTTCTAGCAACAGGCAAGCAGAATCTACCAGGAAGGATGAAAATAACTTGCTGCAGATGAGACCGATCTCATGCCCTAGAATGGCTCTACGGTGTATGTCTCACATAAACACCAGTATTTTATAACTATGCAGAAAACTTGCTGGAACTGTTCTGTATGATTTGTTCCATCAAAAGAGCTGTATTGCTCTTGGGAAGCAAATCACCACTCCCCATTATCGTGAGCTGTGGTATTTGACACTTACCAAAATAATGGTTTCAAAATCTTGGGGAAATCAAGATGCTAGTGAAATAACAGACTTCTGCTTTTAGGAATGCAGTGTTTGCAGTGTATTTGTGTCCTTGTGTAATAAATGGTTCTTAAATGCATGCCAAAAATGGCTTCTTCAAAACTGCTTTGAAGTAAATAGTTTCTTGTACAACAGTCTCTACCACCTACTCATCACAACATATCCACATTGATTTCAGCCAGAAACCATTCTGGGATTGTAAGGGAGAAGTCTAGCAAATCAAGACAGTCTGAACTGACTTAAAACAGTGTGGGGATGCAGCACTGAATTCTCAGTATACTAGTTTGAAAACCACCATGAAAGATGCAACAAAGCAGCTTTGAACTTTGTTACAATGAAATGTGTTCAGTCACAGACACGCTGTCCTCTCTTACAGGTGGTTCCATCAAGGTCCCAATCCCTACACTGGTGCACAGGACTGGCTTTACTCTGGCAACTACTGGGACAGAAACTACTCTAATTTACCTGACATTTATTAAAATGTCAAAGGGAGGCCATGACTAATGCAAATTAAGTCTTAATCTTTTTAATTTTCCTTGTTTCTAGTCAGTTTTTCCAAGAGATGAGAAGTTACTGAACAGGATATTAAGTATCTCCTGCAGTAAATATGGTGGTACAGATTTGAAAGGCTATGGCGAGGAGAACATGGACAGAACTGCTCAGAGCTGACATTTTTCTGATGGGTTAGCGCTACCATATTTGCTGAATACATCTATGTTAAGTCTCGGTGGATAGCAAATAGAACATTTGAAGGTGTTCTATTGATCCTTTCTTTTAATGATTATGCTGGCACAACAGCCCTTTGGGGTCGATTTATTGTGGCACAGAAATGTTTAAAAGCACAGGTACGAATTGCACTAGTCTGTGCTTAAAGCTAGGAGAGGGCAAGTTATTTTTGTAAAGGTTTACTTAACTTTCATAAGATGGCTTTCTCTCAGAATCCTGGATTCCGGTCAGTGATTCCAGAACTACTATCCCCCAAATGTTCACGCTGTAGGTTACGCTGGTAACATTACTCAAAGTATTTATTCCATGTTTAGTGCAGTGTTTTGAATTTGTTCTTTCATGTTTTGTTACCAGCCTCATTTTGTTAAGGAATTAAGAGCCATTTAAAAATTTGATCTGAACTGAACACTAGTAAGAGGTTTAAAAAAAAAAATCTGTTTACTGCACTAGAAAATACAGGTGCTTGGCACCATCATTGTACAATTGCAAAAACTTTTTAAAAATCAGGACCCAGTGGAACAGAACTACTGGAGAAATTAAACTGCACCTGTGTGTGCACTGTACAAATGCATGACTTCCTCCTAGAAAGTGTGGTTTGAAGTCAGTAAGGCACCTATATGGAAACTGCTGTACACACCAGCTTTAACTCCTTTAATTGGGGTGCATTAAATCTTATAGACCTGGGGTATACAGCTGCTATTTGTATACTATTTTAATTGCTGTCTGGAGGTTAGTGTTACATTAATTGCTACTAAATAAAGGCTTTCCAATGCTCTGATTTCTCAGATTCTTTTTTTTTTTTTTTAATACTAGGGGTTGCATCAGCTGATACAGGTAGATGGCTTTGCTCCTATAAAGCCATCCTGCTGAGTGTGGCTTTAGCTTGAAGTGTCTGAAAGCTTGCAGTTCTGTGTTCATAAAGTATGTCGTTGCAGTGATTTCCCTGCTAAGAACTGTGCTCAGCAAACGAGGAAAACACTCTCATTGGGTTCTCATGCATCACTACAAGTAATCTGTTCTACTGAAGTTGGTCTCAAACTTTGAAGGATTTTGCTATCCTGAAATTATTCTGGAAACTTTATCTCCCAATCATCCCCCACCCCACTAGACTCATGTGACACCCTTGACTCAAACGCTGACCTGGGGTTTTTGAAACTGATTAAGTTCCAGTGAAAGGACTCAGTTCCAAATATTGTGTGTTTGACGAGATTGCTTCTTTCCCTATTTCTATCCATTATTCAGTGGCATATGCCTCCCAGGTAAGTTTCTTATCCAGAAGCTGGTATCTACTCCAGAGCCCCTCTCCTAGTGGCTTCCTTTATTTTCAAGCTGGGGCAGAGATGACTACCTGCTTCCTACATCTTAAAAAGAAGAGCAGGTACCAAGAGGAGGAGCAATCACTAGGGAACTCACAAGGCATAAAGACTAGGGCTCTTAATAGATACAAACACAAAGCAATTTTCTTAAGATTAAGATGCTGGATAATTAAAATTGGCATCTTCTCTAAACATTTAAAATCCTCCAGAAATGACATTCTCAAGTGACCACTGACATTGAAATAAACTTGAGACTCCAAAGCTATACTGTGTCTTCCATGGCAAATCTAAGGTCCATTATAATGGGTTTTAACTAAAGCACCTAGAGCACTGGTTTCTTGTATGGCACAGGGTTGCATCTGCTGTCTGTCTAGTGAGATTTTTTTTTAAACCTTTAATCTCATTGACTCCCTCACTTAATAAATGAACAGTGTTGAATTAGTGCCACACCCCCAGCAGTAATTTCTTTGTTTTGGGACATTCCAAGTATAAGGACATTGCTTAATGAGTTTAAGTCCACAGCTTTGACTCTGAATCTATGCCAGGAACAGATCTGTTGTATAAGGCATGATCTACTCTGGAAAGGGATTGTGTGGAACTAATTTGAAATCAGTTTATTCTGTGGTTTTCTTATGGATGTATGTTTACAAAATACTACATGGTGCACGTGTCTATTAGCTAAACAGCTCCAGGGGCCTCAGACAACCAAATGCCCCTGCCACTGAGGGGAAGCATTCTTTTCTTTTGGGTTATAAATGACATTGCCTGTGCTGCTGGTGGATGTTTTCCCCCCTTGGAAGCTTCATTATCTACTTCTCTTCAACAATCTGTTTGTATTCTGCCAACATTCAAGAAATGCAAAAAAAGGCATTCTAATGGATTGCATTAGTTTTGAGTGCTTGTATTAAGTTAATTTATTATTTTAAGATGCAGATTTCCATCCTGGGCTGTTCACATGACATCATCTCCTCTTAGCCTGTTAAAGAAATAATTAATTTAGTTAAGTACAGAGAGCATTATGTTTTCTCCCTCTCCCCCCTCATCCCTGACACACACATGATCCTTTCAAGAAGGTGGGCTGTTGACTACCAGTCTACAGGGGGGCAGCTGTGAAATATCACTCTACCATCCTAGACATTGCTCATGTCAGGCTTGTCTCCACTAGAGTTGGAAGATGTATATGCCAGTTGGAGGAGACAGAGCTGAACTAGCTCTGCCCAAGCTTAAAATCAGAAGTGTAGCCACACTAGTACCACCTCTTTAAGGATTGTACGGGGGATCACTATCCCCTTGCACCATTACATGTACACTGCTGTTTTTCATGGGCCTCTATCTTCAGGATGGAATTTACACCTGCATGAACCATGGACATGGCGTATAAATCTACAGTGCCTGTTGCTTTGATTTCCCATTTCAAACATCTGACAGGTTTGATGTGCTAATTTTCATCTAACTACCAATTTATAGGATTTGCAAAGGCCAAGTACAACAGAGAAACCAGCTCAAAACTGCTTGCTCCAAAAAGGTTTGATCTAAAATCAGAAGTCTTTCACTACTTTCATTTAGGGGACAGAGGGTCAGTGTTTGCTCTGTATGCCAAGTATAGTAGCTTTGCATTAGTGCATCAGAATGGTAAGAGGAATGAGGCTGTCCCAACTACTGTCAAACTAGCTTCAAGTCAGACTACACTGGTGGCTAGAATGGTAGCCAAAGCCAAGCGAACTTAGGTTCAGTGGAAGTTATGTCCTCAGCAACTCTGAAATCCAGGCTACATTTTAGGAGCTTAACTTTAAGCCTCCAAGTTCAAAAACTTCAGCCTCTGGTTAAAGAAGTCTGACTATAAAGCAAAACTTAAGTTGCGAACATCTCCCTAGCAGACCCAACCACAATGTGAAACTGCCTACCTTCTCACAAGTCTGCTCTGCGGACCGGGCCAGAAGTAAATGTAATCTCTCCTGCTATACCATAGCTTCCTGCAAAGGGATTTATGGCTGCTTGGTTATCACCAGCTGCTGAACCCCTCTTTGCGGACATTACCTCGTCTAAGGGTATGGCAACTGAAAGAAAAACGGGGGTTGGTGGTCTAGCAGTTTCTTGTGCAACATTAGAATTGGGGTTTGGAGTGGCCATTTTCAGATCTGCTGGCCTGGCAACTGGTACAGGTACTGTAGTGAATCTCCTCACAGCACTCGTGTCATGCTGTGTAAGGACAGCATGGCCAGGAATAGACTTCCACTCCTGTACATTCTGAACTGTAGAGCCCACTAATATGAAAGGTGGTGCATTTCCCCTCTTGCTTTCTTCCATCATCACATAAGTTGGAGAGGATACTTGTGGTGGTGGACCTTGTGGTGTCAGCTGCTGTTGTAGGAACGGTTGTTGCTCCTTCCCACTAGATATATAGAGGGTTGCTTGGGGATAAGGAGCACCAGTTCCAGCAGGAGGAAGGGGTGGTGGTGACTTTCGACCTTGTTGGCTCAAATCAGTTAGACAATAGAGAGTCCACACATTAGAATATGGTGGTGGTTGTCCCGCTTCGGTTGTTGCCATTGCTATAAAATAAAAATTTAAAAAATTGCTGGTATCAGGTGCTATGAATTGCAATCATATTGCAAACTCTTACATATAACATGCCTATACTTATGTATGCCATAAGAAAGCATGTTAGAGAAGATTGATTGGGATTTTTGCATAGCTGACATGAAAAGAACAGCAGCAGAACTGGTGCTGGAGTTATGGCCAAAGAGACCGTTAACTCTTCCTGTTCTAAGTCCCTCTTTTCAGTGGCTTTTAACATTTTCCTTTTGGGCTGCCAAGCCTGAGAGATTCTGAATGGCCAGCATCAGGGGAATTGCTACAGTCTGCCCCCCATCCAAAAGTCAGTTTTGTCAAAACTTACTTAAATGTTTTGGTTTATTAAAACCAAACAGAAAAATGCATCTGGACCCAGGGTAATATTATTTTTATAGCTGGACATCCAAAGTTAAACAGCAATTTCTATTTAGCTGCCACACAAAGTACCATGGGAGCTTAACGTTTTACAGCCAATGTTTTCAAAGGATAATCTCAGAAAGAAAGTTTATCAACACCCAAACAGGGATCAGAAGAGGTGTGCTGCCTCCAACATAACCACAGCACCGTTATTCCTTACTTCAGCCATGCAAATCCCTTGGTGTTGCTTAACACAATAGTTCGGTAACATGCTTTGATACGTCTTAACACCTCTACCTTTCCTGGGGCCTGGAAGTGGCTCAAGAGGGGTTCTGCAGTAGCAGCGGGAGTCAGGCAGGCACTTCTCACTGGAGAAGGGGACACGGGAGGGATTCTCCAGCTGGGAGCAGGGGGTGGGCTGGGCACTTGTCACAGAGGACAGAGAAGAGTGGGTTTGCAGCTGGGAGGAGAGAGTGTGCATAGGGTACTTGTCAGGTGAGGAGTTTATTCCAGTAGCACCTCACCAGGAAGACAAGTGCCAGACCCTCTTCCCATCTGCAGAGCCCCCTGCCAAGTGCCTCGTCCACCCTCCTCAACCCATCTGCAGAACAGGACAGTGCAGGCAACCACCACCATTTCTTTTTTAAATGCAAAAACTCTATGTTAATGCAATGGCTAGGGTTTAAATCTTTCAAAGTGAGGCCACATTCAAAGTTCTGGCCACCCCCGCATCACCCTTCCTCAGCCACAAGGCACATGTATTACATCTTAAATCTCTGCCATTGCCTCAAACTGTGTGGCTCACTTTCAGCAAGACCCTTTCAGAGCTGTTCAAAAGCACACCCCCACATACCTTTTGTACTGGGGCTTCCCACTCTGGCTCCTGGAGTAAATGCTGTCTGCACCTCTGATGCCACAACAAATCAATTTGCAGGAACCTGTGAACGCATGTTCCTCTGATGCAGGCAACACTAATCCAAGAGCAGTTATAGGTCTTACTCACAATTAGTCACACATTTTGGAACAAATTGCAGAGAGATCTAATATCTGTGCATTGGGGCCAGGCGATTGCAGAGGGAACCAAAGCTCCTTACGTGCTCTAAAGTGAGGAAGTTCAATCTCTCCCATAGCCTTGCACTGGCGTAGGTGCTTGCATTTAATAATTTAGCGATTGAGTTACAGCACTGTTAACCTGGAATATGAAATTTTCATTAAGATCGGGCTTTCTTACCTGACATAATAAAACCTTGCTCAGCTGATGCCATTTGCGCTGTAGTTTCCATTCTTTCAGGGTCACATTCTGCATCATCTGCAGATGGATCTAAGAGCTTAGTGCATGTAAACTGACCTGCATTTAGTGAAGGCATTAGTGGCTGCTGAATCTCTATTAGACAAGCTACTTGTTCTAAAAAGGGAATTACTATTTGCTGCGGGAACTGCTCTACGTAAGGTGGAACCTCTCCTTCAGTAGCAGGCTCATCGTCAGTATGTATTGGCATAGCCTGAATGGTTGATGTAACCTCAATTTCGCTTTGGGAAGGCACAGCCTCTAATGGATCTTTAGGAGGAGATGGTGGTGGTGGTGGTGGTGGAGGAGGAGATGGTGGAGGAGCAGGTGGTGGTGGTTCATCCTGCAAGGGGTTTGAGGAAGCTTGATCTACATCACTTGTTGATCGTTCAGCCTGACTGCTGGAGGGCCCTAGGACAACAGAGGCCTGACTTTGAACCGCTGACTCCAGCCTAACAGACTCTGCAGAACGCTCAGCGGCTGGGGTAAGTGTAGCGTCTTCAGCAGCACCTTCTACTGGTGCAGCTGTTGTGTTCTCTGAGCTCAGAGACAGTTCAGGAAGAGACTGCACACTTGTTCCCACATCCTTCATAGAATGAACAGAATCAGTGTTACCTAACATCTGTGCAGCAAGCTGTGCAGGATCAGCTGGGACATAGGCAAGTTCAGGTCCCTTAGGGGATGGTTCAGGTCCCGTAGGGGATGGTTCATTTTCTAAAAGTTCGCAGTGAGTCGATGGGTATTGTGTAGTTTTGCTGCTGTATTCAGGTTCAGGGCCTTCGTGCAACTGGTCCTCCTCTGTGTCTGTGGATTTTTCCTTTTGTTTTGGTTCCTCAGAAAGTGGAGACACCACACTTATATCTTGCATAAACTTGTCTCCAAGGTCAGCTCTCTTTTCTGGCATTCTATCAGTCCAGCCCTCTACTAATTAAAAGAACGCAACAGTAAGTTAGCAGGTGCTTCCAACGATCGCTATACAACCTGCCTGTTTAATACTTTATCAAGGCTTTAAAGCAGGGGTAGTCCATAGGCAGATTGCGGGCCAAATTCAGACCACCAGAGGCTTTGAACTGACCCTGAAATCTTTTTATTTATTTTTATTATTTTCTCTGGAGTCAGGACCTTGACTACACTTTGACCAAGATATTTGGACCTTGACAAAAAAAAAAAAATATTGACTACCCCTGCTTTCAAGTGAATTTGTCAGGTCATTCTAGATTCAAGAGGTAGACCATGGGATTTCTGTTTGCCTGTTAACACACAAGCTAAAAGTCATGGAGCAGGAGATGTAAATTTTACTAGTGCTAAACCCACCCTCTCTTTCCCCACATCATAGCAGCCATCTTCTTCCCCACACCATCACCACCACCACCACCACAAAAAAAAAAAAAAAAAAAAAGTTGTGGGCAAAAAAACAGAAGAGTCAATAGGAAAAAGCAAATCAATCCAACTACAAGCAAGTACTTAACCTGAGAAATGTATCATTCCCTTTGGAACCTACCTGGAGCATCAAAGCACTCTGGATTCATACAAAATATGTTGGGGATACACATCACAAATCCCATGAAACTGGAGTGTTTGCATAGCCCCTGCCCCACAGGTCTTACCTAAAGAAGCAGCATGTATGTGTCAGTGGGAGACGCGGAGCAAGGTTTTGGCAGTAGAGATGGGGGGGTGGATTTTGGAGAGAGAAATAGGAAAAACTGATGGGATTTTCATGGGTATTATGGTTGAAAACATGAAAAAGAGGAGGAGAAGAGAAGAAGCTCCTTTTTTTAAATTGTGTTTAGTCTGTTGGCCACTGCACATGCAAAAATGGCATCGCATGGAGGGAAGTGGGAAACTGCAGGGAAGAGAGAGAGAGAGATCTTGAGGGCAGGGGGAGGGAGTTGGTGTTGAGATGGTACCTAATGTCATGTGTGGATAAGATCACCCAGAGAGGTTCCAGAGGAAGAAGGAGTAGGAATGCAGAAGAGCTATAACAAATCTAGAACCCTCTATTCATGCCAAATTTGAACTCTAATAGCAAAAACTCTCTCTAAATTACACACACTGACTGGCAACCCAGCCTCTCTCAATGCACACACCATTTACAACCCAGCCCCGCAATCAGAAAGCTCCCTTCACAGCTGCAGAAAAAATAGGAGATAAACACATGTAAATGATCTTCTACAGGCACAACAGCTGCCTTGTGTCCTTAGCACTTTCCTCCCCCACCATCCACCCTATTGCTTTCCCAGGAGCATTTGTTCTGTGCTGGGGCACATCGACTAATCCCTTCAAAGGCAGTCACCAGTTTAGGACACAGCATCAGAGTGATGAGGATCATTCTCCCTGTACCTAATGCCCAGGTGTGCAGCACACTACTTAATAAATTGCATTGTTCTTACCTTGCAGTTAGTCATTATGATTCGTTTTTACTGTATCACCAAGAGGCTCCCACTGAGATTGGGGTCCGTGTGTTAGGCACTACTGTATAGACATTGTGAAACAATTCCTGTCCCAAACTGCTGACAGTCTGAACAGACAAGACAGACAGAGCAGGACACGAAAACAGAGCCACAGAGGCAAAGTGACTTGCCCGAAGTTGTAGCAGGTAAGGGGGCAGCACTCAAATCTTCCAATTCCTACTCTGGTATCTAGGCCACATGGCCTCCTGTCAGTTCTGAGAAACACAACCAGTAATAATTTCTTCTCTCAGAGCACCAGCCCAAGCTACCGAAATAGCTTTAGAGTCCTTTTAGCTGGAGCCAGGTGCATTTTCAAAACTTACTTTCTGCACAGCTCTACCTGTGATGTCACAAAGACAACTTGCAAGTCTTAGAGACCTGGTCCAAGCCTGTGGCATCATGACAAAATACTGGAGGGGGGAAGAGACCCTTAGCTTCCAAGAAGCACCCTTTCCCCTTATCTAAAGGCTGGGAGGAGAAAAGCCTGCCATTTTTGTGGCCGATGACTGAATACCTTTCCAACAACTTCCTTTACAACTCCAACAGGGTCACATGCAACTGAATAGAGGGGGAGGGGCAGGGGTGAGCAAACTGAGGCGAGAAGACTGGGTCATAATGGAGTCGATAGGTGAGTGAAAGGTCAGTTCAAGATGATGCAAGCAGATGACTGATGGGTCTCCAGGCCAATAAGACCAGACTAATTTCTGATATATGACATCATTAATGCAACACCTGCTAGTACTCTACAACTGAGATTTGGCCCCTTGTGACACAGTCATGTTACAATCTCTGCCAGAGAAATTCTTTGCTAAATGGAAATATGGCACTTCAAGTGCCAAAAACAAGCATTGTGTAGACGAGACCCTAAACTGAGAGCCTGGATTCCCCACTACCCAGCTGCAGCACCAAAGGCATCTGTCTGCAGGGATTCCTGTATGTACTTTAGGGTCCCATCCTGTGAGGGGTCAAAGGAAGGCATTTGGCATCTCATAAAATTAGGCCCATACTTCGTAAAGGTACATTGTGATGACAGATCCTAAATAACTTTAAGTTACTATTCATAATGAAAATGGTCAAAAGATCATTTAAAGGGGATTGTTCATGACCATGCAGGTTTGAATGATTTAATCACAATACACTGTATTTTAAAACATAGGAGCTTAATAAGAGCAGCATTTGACACCTTTCTTACCTCTTGTGAAATGAAATTCTCTAACCAGGTCTGTTATATCCAAATTAGGATTTTCTGGAGGTAAAAGTATAAATTAAGATGGACAGTTTGATTAGCATTCTGCAATAACAGCTTTTCAAATGTACCGAATAAGTATCACAGCATATAAGCAAGAACAAACCTTCTCTAAATGCAATTAGCTCTCTGAAGTAGAGAGCTGCAAACTCAGTGATATTGCTTGGACTGGTTTTGAGAACAGCTCTGCTCACTCCCTCGAGTAAAGTCTTGAGGCCATATGGAACAACAAGCCTGGGTTTTGAAGAATGCATCTTCGTCGATTGGCGACAAATCACTCTCACAACTACAACAAAAAATATCTGAGTAAGTACTGTGTGTAGCCTCCTAGGCTAGTTCCAGGCTTTATCACCATGGCAGATGATGCTGATTCTCCTGGGCCCTCTCAATCCCCAAGACACACTAACTACCAATGAGAAAAGGAGTACTTGTGGCACCTTAAAGACTAACCAATTTATTTGAGCATAAGCTTTCGTGAGCTACAGCTCACTTCATGGGATGCATTCAGTGGAAAATACAGTGGGGAGATTTATATACACACAGAACATGAAACAATGGGTGTTACGTACACACTGTAAGGAGAGTGATCACTTAAGGTGAGCGATTACCAGCGGGAGGGGGGGGAACCTCTTGTAGTGATCATCAAGGTGGGCCATTTCCAGCAGTTGACAAGAACGTCTGCGGAACAGTGGGCAGTGGGGGGGATAAACATGGGGAAACAGCTTTACTTTGTGTAATGACCCAACGTGTTGCTCAGAAAAGTTCAGCCATTGCCCAAAACGAAGTCAGCGAGTTCCTATTAAAGCACCAGCTCTCAGGGACATCACCAGTTTCTTAAGCACTTTTGAATTCTTCAACTTCTCTTTGCGGTTATTTTAAACATAATTCAGCCACTAATTTTATAAATCCAGATTTTACGAGACACTGAGCTAAAAACTTGTCCTCGGTTCCCCCGTCTGCAAGGTGGGGCTGGCACAGACATCGCTGAAGGGCCGGGAGATCCCTGATGGAAAGGGGGGGCGCGTTACACTCAAGTGTTAGCTAATCGCTTCCTCAAAGTGCCCGTGGGCGGCGCGGTCCGTCGCCACCACCCCCGGCTCGGCTCGGCTCGGCTCGGCCAGGCAGCGCCCTGCACAGCCGGGACCGGCTCCGCCCCACCCGGGGTGTGTTCTCCGCCTGGGACAGGCCCCGGGGAACCGAACTGAACCAACTAGGGGGCGAAATCTTGCCCCCCTGCGCAGCGGCCCTTTAACCTGTTCGCCCCCGAATATCAACCGGGGCCGGGGGCAGCGGCTCCAGCCCAGACCTTTGCGCTTCCTCCTCCTCCTCCGCCGCCGCCTCCCTTGCCGGAGCCTCCTCTACAGGGGTCCGCCGCAGGCGGGGCCTTTTATAGGTGGGGGGTCGTGGTGGGCGGGGCCAGGGGAGGTGACGGAGTTCCATTTGTGAAGTCACAACGTCTTCTCCACACACACCTACCCAGGCCGGGTGGTCACCAATGGCGAGGGGCGTGGCCGCCCCGGGCTCACAGCCAATGAGAAACAGGGATGCCCCTGCGCTTTCCCCGGCAGCGTGTCAGCAGCTGGCTTCAGGGCAGAGGTGGCGGCTTCTTGGCCGGTACTCCCAGCGCCGGGCTTCCCCGCTCTCTCCAGCTGGGAGAAACTGACAAACTGGGCCCAGCTTCGTTTTTCCTTCGATTCCGCCATTCCACGCGGGGTCTGGGTTACCGAAATACCGTCTGAAAACAACCAGGCCCCCGTCTGTAAATAAAGGATTGATCGATAAGTGATGACCGCCTCCCACCCGAACTAGAAGTTCGGGCTTTCCTTGCATGAGGTGGGGCGGGGAGCTTTTACGTTTTTATGCCCGTATAAAAATGTCCCCACCAGTCTAATTTTTTAAAGTTTCAGACATGCCAAATTTTAAAAACTAGCCGCAAAACGCACCTGGATGAGGCTGCTGCCATAGGCTTTTTCCCGAGTCTAAATTGGAGCTTTTAGGCAGAGCAGAGCTAGCCCATTGGGGGCCCTAAGCAGGAATATTTCCCCCTCTTCCCCCCACCTCCACCCACATCATACAAAGCTGCTCAGGGTCCTAAGCAATAGCTTAGTCTGCTTTTGCCTAGTGCCTGCTCTGCTCTTAGGGTTTCATGTAAGCAGGAAGTACTGCAGAGACTGAATTGTAGTAGCCACTATTAACTAGCATTGTATTAGCTCTGCTTTCTTACATAACTCAGGCTTTCACCTTTGAACAACATTAAAAAACTACTTATCTGAAAAACTAAACATACCAACGTTTCTCACCCCCATTGCATATAAAATAATAGGAGAGGAGAAGAGCGAGGGGAGTAGTTAAAACAGATTGGAGATTTTGCTACAGTAGATTTCAGTTTCCTTGACTATGACAGACTGTCAAAGTCAGCATAATCCTAAAATCAGAGTTATCAGTGTGCTAGCCTTCACTGCCCTCATCAGACTTTCCACTTTGTGCTGGGTCTAGGTGGCGCTCTGGCCAAAACGTGACCCAGAACAGTATGAGTTCAGCCCTGGCCTGCCTCGAGCTGGAGACCAGACTTTCTCTAGCACAACTGCCTCTGCACCAGGCTCCCAAAACAAATTACCACATCATAAAGGGCAACTTCTTTTCTGGCTTGTTTGTAGAAGCAGAAGACAATTCATTATACACAAGGGCTTTGCCAGCCTCTTACAGGTATCTTAAGGCTTGTCTTCATTGCAACAGTTAGTTTGCATTAGTCCAGTTACTCCTTTGGAGCTAATTCAAGTGAGTAGACACATGGCCAGTGAATTGGTTACTGGAGTAATTGAATTAGTAGTTGAGTTCTAACTCAGCTGCTGTATCCCCATTTCATTACTAGCTTGAGCACGGTGCTTAATTTGTAATGAAAGAGGTGCTGGGGCTCAAGCAATTTTTTTTACTTCCATAACTGACGCGGCAAGCACAGTTGCTGGGGCTCTGAACTGCCACACCTAGAGGTGCCAGGGTGCAGCTCTGGCAAAAATTACGCATGGCTTCAGCATCAGCAGCACTCAAGCCCACCCCGTCCCTGAAGGGCCAGTTAGCTCAAAGCAACACTTAACTTGAGCTAGAAAGTTGTGTGTGGATGGGGGTTGGGTTAGGGGCAAAACGTGAGTTATAGCTCAAGCTACCATGCAGTGAAGACAAGCCCTTAGAGCTTTATTTCATGTGCCTTCCTCCGCCACCCCCTCCCATTCTGGGGGCTGAAGGAGTTCTGTATTTTTAATATCACACCTATATAGATTGCAGACACATCTGCACTATGAGGATTATAATGGCATAACTATGGCACCACAGCTATGCCAGAGTAACTCCGTAGTGTAGACACAGCCTACAACAAACTCAGCTGCACTAGGCTAGCAGCACTTCAGTGGGTGCTTAAATAAAGTCTCACACAGCACATCTAGCTCGTAGGAAACTTTCTAAGGAATATTGCAATTCATGACATCAGCATATTGCATCGAAGGCTTGGTCAACTGACAACATTATTCTGTGGAGTTGCCTGAGTTTGTGTATTTAAAAGGTATGTATGGGGTAGGAGAAGGGGTGTCACAGTTCTGTTAACATGTCTATCACCTGGGCATCCAAGGACAATTAGAATTACTGAAATCTTTCAATAACCTTACCTTTCAAAGATTTCCAAATACATTTTTACTCCATTTCTGTATCCCCTACTATAAACAACCACACAAGCCTCCTCTTCCTTCTTCTATAAAAATGGCACTTCCCTTTTGTGGAGGACATTTAATCTGTCTGGTCATATCTGAACTTTTAGTCAGAGGTATGGGTAGGAGTTTTTGTGACCTTACTAAATAAGTTTGTGTAGATTGACGTGAACAAACCATTATTGGGTTTTCTACATTTTTTTATTTATTAAAATAGTATGACCTCATATAGTATATTGCAGTTGTTCAACCCTTCTCCTTTAATTTTGCTAATGGATTACTATTAAATAAAACTATTTAAAGTGGCAGGTAAAATCAGTTAGAATTTAAGTCTATAAAACAACTTGATGTGAAATATTTTCACATTTACAAGTTGGGAATGAAGGAAATAAGGAAAAGTAATACAATTTTAAAATAAAATTGCTGAAAATTAGGTCCTTTCTACAATCTTAGTGAACCATGTGACCTGTCAGCACTTCAGAACATTACGTATTTCAGATTCTTTCTAAGAAATTCATTCAGTGGGTGATAGGGTGGTGTTGTTTTTTAAAGCCTATCATAGATTAGGATGTCCAAATGTTGTTAGCAATTTAGACTAAGTTGTATATTTCAGTTCAAAAACCTCAAAGTATTTTAGTGCCATTAAACATTTGAAGCAGGTCATTATTTTGTTGCTTAAAGCTCTTTATAATACATTAAACTCAGTAGGAATTCATTCACAAGTAACAGGTTTCAGAGTAGCAGCCGTGTTAGTCTGTACTCGCAAAAAGAAAAGGAGTACTTGTGGCACCTTAGAGACTAACAAATTTATTTGAGCATAAGCTTTCGTGAGCTACAGCTCACTTCCGATGAAGTGAGCTGTAGCTCACAAAAGCTTATGCTCAAATAAATTTGTTAGTCTCTAAGGTGCCACAAGTCCTCCTTTTCTATTCACAAGTAACAGATCCAACCACATACTGTAATTTTATTTCTGTTGTCTCTGGTCAAAACACCATAGGGGCCTATAGTTTGAAACTTTAAAGAGTGTTAATAGCCTTGAATTTCATCCTATTCATTTCAGACCATTTTTCCAGTTTGTCAAGATAATTTTGAATTCTAATTGCTTAATTTGAGCTTCTGAAATGGATTATTAAGGCACTGAGGGGGGGAAATTCAACTACCTCGTAAGCTAACTTCTGAAAAAGACCTACATAGATAAAATATATGCATGACATACAAGATTCTTCATGAAAGCTGAAAAGTAGTAATTACATACCTTCCGTTGTACTCTTGGGTCCTTATATCTCTGTTCAGGCTTGGCAAGAATTCCGATAATTCTGAGGTTCTAAGATGCTGCATGCAGTGGCAGTTGATTTGTGCCATCTCTGGTGAAGTACTCAGGCTGCCTAAAGTGATCAGTTCCTTTTGAATAAGAGGTGAAAATATTCCCCTAGCAAGAGACAATAAAAAATTAATATGAAGTCACAGTACCTATAAGTTGGTGTGTAGGAAGGTCCATACGTGGTAATCCACTGAGAAGTGTATCATCTGAAAAAAAAAACCCTATCACATAACCAATTATCTCTTCACTAAAGAAACTCCTCCTTTCAAAGGCTTCTCACTCTTGGACAATAAAGACCTGGACTACACTACAAAAATAACCATGTTAAAATACGAAGTATTGGTATAGCACAATTGTTGTAGGTTTGCTTGCCATAAACAGAAAAAAACCCAAAACAGAAACCAACCAAATATGGCTGGGGCTATGTTTTAACCTTGGTAGATACCTAGGTTTGAACATGCTTTCCTAGCACAGTTATACCTTGTTTATGGCCACGCAAACAACACACACATCTGGGCCCACAATCATGTTTCACAGCTGTGTTTTAAAAACTTGGTTGTTGTAGTAAAGTGAGAGATTTAAAATTTCCAAGTACGTCTCTAAAAGAAAAAAGTCCAACTACTTTCTCACAGGCAGTGAGAAACAAAGAATAAAGTGAACAGGTCATGACTAGTAAGATTAACTAGATTTATTTTCACACATGGAGAAATAAGATACATCATCTTAAAAGTCTAATAGAGGACTAAAATAATAGATAAATAAAATTCATGGGTGTGGGAGGTACGACAATTAAGGTAACCCCCTGCCTGGCAAAGCAGTCTACATATGGATTCCAGTTTGGAAGCCAAATCTAAGCAATAGGATTTAGTATGCAGAAAAGACAACAATGGCTGCTTTACAAGTGTCCTGGATGCACCTGCCTCCTACAGCAGAGGCTTTGACATAACTTTCAGGTTCCAGGTCTGCAAAGCTGTAACAGTGAAATTGCAACCTAACTGATGTTTAAACATAGTCCTCTCGGAAAAAGCAAAACTTATTAGTGTCAACTGAAACAAAAAGCTTGGTGGGTTTTCAAAGACCTTCAGTCCACACCAAACAAAGACTCATCTGTATTGAGCTTGAGAAGACAGGCTTTTCCAGGTTGAGAATGTGTGGTGAAGGGGAAATCAGTCTGGATGAATCATTCATTTATGTCCAACTCCGTTATCACCTTTGGAAGCAGCCTAAGATAAATCCACCACTCCACTTTTACTTGAAGAGTTTAGTATAAATTGGACCAGACATTAGGGCCTGAAGTTCACTCCTACCAGCTGAAGTTCCTTCCCCC